GGAGCCCGCGGCCGCGAGGGGGAAGGACAGCTCTCTCTCTCTCTCTCTTTCTCTCTCCCTTCTCTCGTGGCCCCGCTGGTTCGGCCGCGCTCGCGCGCCCGTGCGCTCCTGTCGCGTGCGTGCTTCCTTGAGGCAAGTCGGCGGCGCGCCCGGGGGGGGAGGCGGAGGGGGCCGGCCTTCTCAGAAGGCTGCGGGACTTCTGAGAAGCCCTTGCGCCTTCTGAGAAGGCGTCAGTGGCTACGGAGAAGCGGACGGGGCTACGGCGAGGCCGCTTTGGAAGACCCTCTGAGGAGTCCAGCCGCTTTCTGAGAAGGAGGGTCCTCTCTGCCTTCCCCCCCCCCCCGGGCGCACCGCCGAACCGCCGAAACATGTGAGAAAGCATGCCTGGCAACGACGTGGCTTCTCCGAACGCCAGCCTGAGAAAGCCAGCCTTCTCAGAAAGCGGCGGGGCTTCTCAGAAAGCCTCCCAAAGCGGCGGGGCTTCTCAAAGCCCTGGCGCCTTCTGAGAAGCCTTCTCAGCCTTCTGCGAAGCCACGGACGACTTCTCAAAAGCGCGAGGGCTTCTGAGAAGCCCCGCAGCTCTCTGACCCTTCTGAGAAGACCGGACCCCTCTGCCTTCCCCTCGGGCGCACCGCCGACACATGTGAGAAAGCATGCCTGGCAAAACTTTGTCATTCTACTAGGCCGCAGCGTACAGCGTGCCAGGAGCGCACGGTGGCGGGTGGGCTCTTGTTACTCCTGCACGCGCCCAGTCCCCTTTGTTTCCTGATAGTTGCATTTCGAGTCGGAGACCAACTGCAGACTTGATTTGCTCCCAAATTGATTGTTTCGCCGATGGTGCAAAGCAAGACGTAACATCTTCGTATATCTATTCACCACATGTTAATGTTTCGGCATTCGACGACAAACGACATCATTTGGGGTAATGCAATTATGTGTTCGACCTCGTTCTCTAATGTTTGCGCCCTTCTGCCACGTTATCAGCCTCTTTGTTTCTGCCCACTTCTGCCTGGTTGCCTATCCCTGTCTCTCTGTGTGTCTCTGCCCCTGCTCGCGTCGGCTTTCATGTTTCCGTCCCTCTCCCAGCTGTCCTTGCTCTCCTTGCTCCCTCTCCGCCTGACCTTCTCCCCTCCCCCGCTTCGTTATCGTAGTCCTCCTGCTGACTCCGCAGACCCGGCACGCACCTAACTCTGAGGCGTGTGTCCACCGGGGCTAGGCGTGTCGCGGCCGAGTGTCCCCTCGGCCAGAAACAAGGCAGGGGTGTGCCCATCTGGGAGGTTTCTCTCAGCACCCGGAGTGGAGGAGTCCACTCCACCCGGGTGCTGGCGACAGGCCGCACCCCGAAAAAGCAGCAGCCTGGATGGGGAAGGAGAGAGGAGTGGGAGAGGAGGGAGCAGGCAGTGGGCTGGAAGGCGGAGGAGACGGACGCGCTGCGGAGGGGTGTGAGCCCCACAGCCCCCCCTGAGGCGTTCGCGCGCCCGCCTGGGGCAAGGAGCGGGGGAGGGAGAGGGGAAGAGAGGGAGGGGAGCTGTGACTGGAAACAAAAGCGAGCAACAGCGTCGACAGAGGATGGAGGTGGAGGAGGGGGAGGAGGCAAGCTAGGTGCGCTCGCGTCATATCTGACGTCCTACCCCTCCCTCCCATCCCTTACCATGGCGCTGATTTTCTCTATCCGCGGACGCGTGTCGTAGCGGACTTGTGGCTCCGCGCGCGCGTGCGTAGTGGGTGGTGGTGCGCGTGCGTGCGTGCGTTGGATGTGTGTGGTGGGATTGTAGGTGGTGCTGGTGGTGGTGGTGGTGGTGCTGGTGGTGGTTGTGGTGGTGGTGGTGGTGGTGGTTGGTGCGGCGCGGTGGTGGCGGGCGGATGGGCGCGCGAGAAAGAGGCCCGCGCTGGGGCGAGAACGCCATCCTGAACGACGGAGGCCAAACACCGATCCGAACACGAGGCCCACGCTGCAGCGGGAGCACGATTCGGAACGATTCGGGCGCAGAAATGAGGCCGGCGCCTCAGCGAGAGCAGTATTTTGAAAAAACGCAAGCGAAAACCCGTTTCCCGGGAATCCTGTGTGTAAAAAACAATACGCGGGGGGTGTCGGATATCTTCGGGACGCCATCAGGGGAAGTGGGAGAGTATTTTCATATTCTGTAATTGTAGAAGAAGGAGGAGGAGGAGGAGGAGGAGGAGGAGGAGGAGGAGAAAGAGGAGGAGGAGGAAGAGGAGGAGAAGGGGGATGGGGGGAAGAGGCGGTAATCAGGAGTTTAAAAAGGTTTACTCTGGAGTTAACCCTCCGTTGGGTGAGCGTCGATGTATTCACCCTGGGAGGGGGTTAACTCCAGATTAAACCCTTTTCGTGGACGCCGAGCGTCGCAGGGGTCCACCCTGAAGAGGGTTAACTTCAGATTAAACCCCTCTGGCGGACGCCGAGCGTCGCAGGGGTCCACCCCGAGGAAGGTTAACTCCAGATTAAACCCTTTTCGTGGACACTCCCTGAGAGGCCGAGGCGGAGAAGGTGGAGAGCGAGAGAGAGAGAGAGGAAGAGAGAGAGAGACATAACGAAACAGAGAGATAAGGACCTGGTGGGCGCGGTACCAAACTCGCACCGAAATGCCCGCGGCGAAACGGAGGCAGCGGTGGCACTTGGGGCATCTTGGGCGCCCTTGGGACCGTCGAGGAATAGATTGATTGAGCGCTTCATACATGTGGCTGCAGGGACGCAAGCGATAACATGAACATGGTGAAGGAAAACCTCAGGGCGAAGGCCCCCAGGCGCTCCCCCATGAACCGCGCCCCAACACTCTGGCATTTGGGATGCCGTTCGCGCCATACCCGCTGCCTCTAGGACTGTCTTGGGACCATCTTGGGCTGTCTTAGCGACCGGGGGGGGTCTCTTGGGCCGTGTTGGGGCGATCGTAAGGGCCCCCGAGGCTGCCAAGCACGGTGCGAAGACGAAACATACGAATGCCGTTAACACGTTTTTTTTACGAAAGGAACGGGCCGTTTTTGCTTCTCGGGGCCGCCTGGTGGGTAACATTGCACGGGCTTTTATCTTTTTTGTTATATTTTGTTTTTTATATTCTTTTTCTTTTTTTTTTATTTTTTTTTTTTTTTTTTTAGTTTTTTTTTTTTTTTTTTTTTGATTTTTTTTTTTATTTTTTTTTTTTTTTTTTTTTTCTTTTTATTTTTTTTATTTTTATTTTTTATTATTTTTTTTTATTTTTTACTTTTTTATTTTTTTATTTTTTTTTGTTTTTTTTTTTTATAATTTTTTTTATTTTTTTTTTTTCTTATTTTTTTTTTTTTATTTTGATTTTTTATTTAGTTTTTTTGTTTTTTTTGATATTTTTTTTATTAGGAGGCGTCTTGGAGGCATCGCGTTGGCTGCTTAGGGGCCTCCTTGGGGTCTCGGGGGTCCTCTTGGGGCGTGGGGCTGGCAATTCCAATTCGATTGCCCCATCTTGGGCTCCTGTAGGAGCCCTCTGGGAGACCGTTGGGGCCGTCTTGGGTGCCTCTGGGACCGGCCTGGGACCCTCTTGGGCCGTCCTGGCGCCCTCTGGGGGGTCTCTTGGGCCGTGTAGGGGCGATCTCAGGGGCCCCTGAGGTCGTCAAGGATGGTGTGTAGACGAAAAGCATGGATAGGGTAATTATGTGCGTTTTACAAAGGGAATGTGGCTATGTTTGCCTCTCGGGGCCCTCGTGGAAGGCAAATTGCACGGGTTATGAGGCGTCTTCGAAGTCTCTGGGGCCGTTGGAAACGCCCCGTGATCCGTCGAAGCCGTCTTCAGGGTGGTGGGCGGCTGGCTGGGGCCGCCGCGACGCTCATCGGACCGCCCTCCGTAGCGATTTTGGGCACCCCTGGGGCCCCTTGGGGACCTCTTAAGGCCTCCTGGGAGCCCCTGGGGCCGAAAGCTCGGAATTTGAATCTGGTTTTCCACCTCTGGGACCCCTGTGGGGCTCGTCCTGGGGCTCTCTTTGGCGGTCTTGGGGGCCTCTCGGGCCGTCCTGGGACCCTCTTGGGTCGTCTTGGAACCCTCTCGAGGGCCTGTGGGGCAGTCTTGGGGGCCTCGGGGGATTCTCGGGGCGTTTGGGAGGCCTCTCGGGGTGTCTTGGGAGCCATCTTGCGCGTCTCGAAGCGGGCTGTGCGTCTTGGAGCAGCCTGTGGGCGTCGCGGGTCCCTCTTGGAGGATTAGATTATCTCGGCGCTTTTCTGAGGATGGATGCATATCTGTGGGTTCTTCGTGGGCTCCCCGCGGCGTGCACGTCTACCGAAGGCCCTTGCGCGCACGCAATGCGGGGGTGGTCGCGGCCCGGGCGGTCTGGACCGTTTGTGAAGTGTGTTGTGGTTGGTGTGGATGTGTTATTATTTTGGTTTTCGCTTTGTCTTCTTATGTTTTTTTTTTTTTTTTTTTTCTTTGTTCTTTTTTTTTTTTTGCGTTGTCTTATATGTATTTTCCTGTATTTTATTTTTTTTTTTTAACTCGGGCCCCGGCGCGCCGTCACATGTATGCGTGTGTGTATGTATGTTTGTATGTCTGTGTATCTGTCTGTGTGTATGTATGTATGTTTGTTTGTGTGTATATGTATGTTTGTATGTATGTGTACATATGCAACAACATCAACAACGACAACAACAGCAACAACATCAACACACACGCACACATCACGTAACAATGACACATAAAACAGGCTTCCAGAATGCGCCTTGGAACCTTTTTCAAGCCCATCTTGACGCCACCAGAATGTGCCTCCAGGCATTTCGGGCTTCCTGGAGAGCCAACTGGCCCTCCGCAAAGGCACCACAGGGCTTCCAGCCGGCACGTACCTTACGCAATCTGTGCCGTTTTACGATCCTTTTCCTCGCCCTGTCCTTGTCGTACCCCCCTGTATCGTCAAGTTCGTGTTCTTCTCTGTGCCCTCCTGTTTTTCTTCTTTGTTTCCCTTGCCCGGCGCCCCCCTGGCCCCCCGCCCCGCCCCTCGTTCGCCCCCCCAATCCCCCCCCCCCCATGGCGGCGGCGGCGGTGCAGCCGCAGCCCCCATGCAGAAACGCTGATCGGCCTGCAACGCGTTCTCTTTCCTCACGAGGGCGCCAGTGACCCTCTTCGTCCATCGCAATGTTATTCTCCGAGAAGAAATGGTCTCTTGCCGACCTGCCTGACATTTTTCTGAAGCGCGACCTCTCCGGTTGTATTCGGCCAGTTATTCGCGCCGGCTCTTTTCCGAAGTCGCTCGCGCTGACGGCATATCCGTATTCAGAAGCATCTGCAACTGCGACAACGGGATGCCAATCTCGGCTCCACTCTTCAAGCAGGAGCGGCGTAAGATCGAGGAAGGATTCGACCTCTCGACGACGGGACTCCCAGAGAGGAGTCGCCACGAGGTACCGAGCCTGTATAAATTTGCACAGCGAGCTGAACACGCACAAGGTATCCCTGTTGCAGAGCCCCACAAACGCACAGCGCCCTGGCAGGATCTCCCAAGCACGCCCGGCAAGAGCACGACATCGGAGGCCCCATCGGAGTGCTTGCCGAACCTTCCAATACCTCTTTGGGGTCACGCGTGTACACAGGCTGTCCCCGTCCAAGATGCACCCTAGGGTCTCACCCCCCCAAACTTGGATCTCGTCGCCGTGAGTTTCGAGGCCCTTACTGATGAGGAGCTGGGAGGCCTGCTGGAGTCCACGTAGCACAGATTGTTCTTCCCATGCCAAGACTCCAATATTGTCCACGTAGACGTAATAGGCTGAAAGAGAAGGGGCTCCTGTAGGGCCAAGAAGACAGCACGAGGTCTTGTCGCCCAGGGCCCCCATGATCCGCGAATTTGGGGAACCTCCGACATAGTTTCCGTTCGTGCGCTGGCAGAAATAGAGCGACCAGGTGAAGCCCATCGGGAGGCTCTCAAACGCAGGAAACACCCAGGACTCGGCTCCCACGATCACACCATTGATGTTCTTGCCCGTGAGCCCCAACTCTTTGGCGCGCGCAGGCTGCAAAAGAAGGCGGAGAGCTCGCGATCAATCTTGAATCTGCGAAAGGCATCCTTCACGTCCGAGGTGCCCGGGCAGAATCGGAAACCATCTTCTTTCCTAAGCTGCTCGTGCGTCTCATTATCAACTTCCAACTTCGAGAGGCCCTCGGCAGTCGCTAAATTCACTCCGGGCTGCGAACAAAAATGAGGGTTCGATCTTCTTGCATCTACGATGAGTCTCAACTGTCCTGTCTCTTTCTTTTTGACGAAAAATATCCCCACCTCCTCCTTGACCTCATCTGGGCTCAGGAACGCAAGAAGGCCACGGCGCCGCAAATCCCGCGTCAGTCGCAGGTACTTTGTGCGGCCTCGAAGAAGGGCAGGGTCCCAGCGGGGAGTAGTCCCCGAATCCGCTGTCCGAGCCTCGCGCTCGGAGTCAGGCGGCAGCATGCGCTTCAATCCACTCTCCAGATCGTGGCGTGCGCTACTGGGCAAAATCTCGAGCAGGCGAGGCGCGTCAACGACTGACTCGGGCAAAGAGATCTGCCGCACATGCTGGAGGTGTCTGATGCTTCTTCCGCCCGCGTCAGCTTCGTAGACTGAGCGGCCATTGAGGAGAGACTGGAAGGCCTCTCGCGGCAGGGGGGTCGCGTCCATGCCCGGAGTGGCTTGAGCCGCTCTGACAATGCGCGCATGCACCCCAGGCGATCAGCTGCGGAGAGGGCGGGCTGGCCGCCTCGCCACAGAAATGCAACCAATCAAGAGCTCGAATGACACCGATGGCCTCTCTTACAATCTGCCGCTGGCAGCGCGCTCCAGGAGAGTTATCGCCCCAGCGATGTCGAGAGAAGAAGCCACAGCCAAGCTCGCAAAGAGGGGAAAGGGGAAAGGAGGGCAACTCCCAGCTTTCCCATCGGGGCTGAAAAACCCCCGAAGGCCTCCCACTCCGACGGGGGGTGTCGACGTCATGGCTTCACTGGCGGCGGGGGCTGATGACCGGCTGCTGCCTTGCCGCCGTCTGCGCCGCCCTTGCCGCCGCCGGCCTTGGGGCTCTTCGGACCCTTTGGGCCCTTCGGGCCCGATGGGCCGCCAGACAGCCACTCCGCCGCGTCCGCCGCGAGCTGGCTACAGGCGGGCTGCCCGCTGAGCCTGCTCTTCGCATTCTCAATCTCGGCCTTCTCCTTGTTTTTGCGGGCAACCGCGCTCCTTAGACCTGGATCGGCGACCTCCAACGGCCCGGCGATGCCCGTGCATGGCTCCAGGCCCTGCCACTTGGGTCTCGAGGGGTCGTCGCGGTAGGCCTCATGATCTGGGCGACTCGTCTGCATATCACCTCCGTCGAAGCCACAGGCGCGATGTTCAACTGATCATGCGATCCCGCGTGCGGAACCGCCGTCAGGAGGGTGGTCATCTCGATCGCCGTGCGCTCATTCTGACCGATGCCCTTCTCCTGCAGCCACGGCGCCTGCCATGCGAGCGGGCCCCCGCCAGCCCTCTCGAACCTCTTCGCCATGCGCAGCGCCTGCGAGCGCTGGTCCCCGAAAAGGCCAGTCTGGGAAGAGGTGGGGGCTCAGTTCGCGCGCGACCGAGCGCCAGGGCTTATGGCGCCCCCCAGCTTCGCCCATCACGATCCAGAGGGTCCTGACCTCCTCGGCCCCCTCCTGCGCGCGTGCGCGCTCGCGGTGCTCCGCCAAGGCGCCCGCGCGCTCGCCGATCTCATCTAGCCCCGCGGAGTCTGCCACCTCGTCGCCCTTTCGATCCTCCATCCACTCCTCGAACTTGCGCCCGCGGTGGGCCTCTCGCGCGTTCCTCACGAGCTCGGCCTTCTCGTCGGGCACCGCCGCCCGCGCGCGCTGCCAGCCGCCCTCAAGCCGCGCCGCGGCGTTCCACTCATCGAGGCGCACGTCGTGTCTCGTGAGCTGCATCGCTCGCCCCAGCCCTGGCACCTCCACGAGCACCCGCTCGAGTCCCTTCGGCGGGTCGAGCTCGAGTCGCGGCGTAAGGCAGGTGGCCTCGTCCGGCGGCGGCAGCGGCTGCAGCGCGCCCAGGGCCAGCCCCTCTGGCGCCCCCGCGGCAGCGGCGGCGGGGGCCGCCTCGCGCAGCGGAGCGATACGACGGATGGCTCCACCGAAAGGGAGGAGGCGGCCGTCTTCGAGGTAGTGGCTCGGGCCCATCAGAGGCTCACCCGACTACGCCACCTCCGCGCGCGCCAACCTGATGAAGCTCCTCAGGCTCCTTCCATCGTTCGGCTCTCGGGGTTGGTAGACGCCTCCACGCTTCACCGAGGGGCGATCTCCATGTCGTGCGATCCTGAACGCGCGGGAACAGCCCTCAGGATCCTCGCAGGCCACATTCTCAGGGGTGTAGTCACCACCGGGAGAGAGCGTGTACCACACCTTCGGCCCGACTGGATACAAGAGCGTACGATGATGCCAAACCGGATCGTCATCATACCAGACCCCGATGCAATCTCCCGGGATCATATTTTTGCAGAGCCCCTGCGCCCCCACGGCGGTGCCGTCCGCCAGCCGCAGCGCCGGCCATCTCCCGCGGTGGGGGATCTCCTCCGTTTCCGCGAGCGCCATGGCGACGACGGCACAGCGCACAGGTGGCTATGCCCTCGGCGACTCCTAGCAGGCCCGCCAGCGCTCCCGACCAGCCCCAAGACGTATTCAGCGGGGACTCGTCCGACAGCGGCGGCGCCACGATCGGCTCAGGCTGCTCCTCGAGCGTGCAGAACGGTGGGCCCGTCAGTGCCTCCACTGCTGAGGTGAGGTTCCGCACTGCCTTTTCCGCCTGCTCGAGGCTGTCGTCCAGCCGAGCGAGGCCACGGGCAGGTCACTCGGGCGGACCAGGGCAGATCGGCGGAGGGATGCTCTGGGCGACGAAATAGGCGAGGAAGCGTATCGTGGGGAGAATGGAAACCCCGCCGACCGCGAGAGCAGTCGTGCTGCTCACCCTCAACATTTGAGCAGAAGTGCCCGCGGCCGTGGCAACAATAACGTGCACAGCACTTCTATATTGGCCCAAGATGGCCTCCAAAATGGTCCAAGATGGCCTCCAAGTTCGCCCAAGATGGTCCAAGACGGCCTCAAAGACGGCCCAAGAGACTCCAAAACGGCCCAAGAGGGCCCCCCAGAGGCCTCCAAGACGGCCTAAGAGGCCTCCAAGAGGTCCTCCAGGAGGGCCCGAACAGGCCCAAATCATTGATGTTCCTTAGGTCTTTGAAGGATTTTGGCATTCGCTTCTTCTCGGCTTCCCGACGACCCGAGACGGCCCAAGAGGCCCCCAACATCGCCCCCACAGCGCCCAAGAGGCCTCCAAGATGGCCTCAGGACTGCCCAAAAGGCCCCCAAGACGGCCCCAAGAGGGCACAACGACGACCCAAAACGCCTCCAAGACGCCCAAGATGGCCTCTACGACGGCTCTGGAGCACCCCGAGGGGGCCCCAAGTCGGCCCACAAAGGCTCCCCGAACGGCTCCCGACGGCGTCAGACGGGCCATGAGCCTACCAAGATGGCCGAAGTTGGTTCGAAGCTGGCCCAAGACGGCCCAAGAGGTTTCCAAGAGGGCCTCCAGGAAGGCCAGAAGGGCCACAAACACTGATTTGCCGTAGGTTGTTGTCGGATTTTGACATTTGCTTCGTTTCGGCCTGCCGACGGCCCGGCCCAATAGCCCCCCAAAATCGCCTAACGATCGCCCAAGAGGACTCCAAGATGGCCCCAGAACGGCACTAGAGGCCCCCAAGACGGCCCCATGAGGCCCCGAGACGGCCCAGGATGCCTTTTAAGACGCCAAAGATGGCCTACAATACGGCCCTGGAGCATTCCAATAGGGCCCCAAGTCGGCTCAGAGAGGCCCCCCAAACTGCTTTCGACGGCGTCGGACGGGCCAGGGGCCCACCAAGACGGCCGAAGATGGCCCTAAGATGGCCCAGGACGGCCCAAGAGGCCTCCAAGAGGGCCTCCAGGAAGGCCCGAAAAAAGGCCAACATTATTGATTTCCCATGAGTTATTGAAGGATTGTGGCATTTGCTTTGTTTCTGCCTTCCGACGGCCCGAGACGACCCAAGTGCCCCCAAAGATCGCCCAAGATGCCCAAGACGGCCCCAAGAGGCCCCGAAGACGGCCCAAGAGGCTTCCAAAACGCTCAAGATGGCCTCCAAGACGGCCCAAGAGCCCTCCAAGACGTCCTCCAAGAAGGCTCGAAAAGGGTCAAAATGGCCTCCAGGCGGCCAAGAGGACCTTCAAGATGCCCACGTGTTCCCCGAAGTCTTTCCAAACCGATTCGGGGAACACATGGCCCGATAGCTTGGCAGGTCTGGCTTCAACGTTCGGCCACATAGGCGCTTCCAAAAAGGCAGGGGGCGGCGGTGATTCGCCGTAGGCGTCTTCGATACAAGGAGATGCCAGGAAACCTCCGATACACCCAGACGGGCGAAATTATCTTCGCGCCCGCGCACCGTTGCCTGCAGAAAAACACCCAGACCGCGAAGAACCCCTATCTTCGCACCCGTTACGCAGATCTTGAACCTCTTGGAACGTCGAACTCGCCAATCACATCCCGATGCATTTCAATTCTTCCTCCTCCTCCTCCTCCTCCTCTTCATCCTCCTGTTCGTCCTCACCTTCATCATCCGCATCCTCGTCATAGCCATCGTCATCATCAACATCATCAGCCATACAACCATCACAGTAATCATCATACTCATCATCATCACCACCATCACCATCAGTAAAGGTGGCAAAGGCGTAAAACTGTTTACTCCAGAGTTAACCCTCCGACCGGACGTACCGTTAAACAAGTGTTTACTCCAGAGTTAACCCTCGGACCGGAGATCCCGTGAAAAGTGTTAACTCTGGAGTTAACCCCTCTTGGAGGGGAGCGCAAACAGCATTTGTGATGTTATTGAAGAGAGCGCTTGCAAACCCCAGCGAAGGAACCGACGAAACAAGAAAGCCCGCAACGTGTGAGAAGCAATCGCTCTGGATCAGCGCTAGAGTGACGAGCGACTTGGGCCAGAAAGCCTGCAGGGCAAGAGAAGCACGCACCCTGAACCAGCAAGCCTGCATCATGAAAAAACACACCTCCTAAACCAGACAGGCCAGCAGAGCTGGAAAAACAAGCCTCCAGAGCCAGAAACATTGCAAAACTAAGGCAGAAGGGATTCATAGCAAGAGAGCGTTCGTATCCGAAAAAAGAGGCCGACGTAACCTGAGAGCCAGCAGCCCCAAACAAAACAACTTTCGGAGGAAAAAAAAACCTGAAGAGCGAGGAAAGGTGGCTCAATAACCGGGTGACTCAATAATCAGACAGCAGGGCGAGAGGAGGGCGGCAAAACTAAAACTACGAGACCCAAACATCACCCCCCTGAGCAGCCTGACGAAAAGTCGTCCATAACGTGACAGGCTGTGAACTGGATTGGAAAACGAGTCGATTGCAGAGAAACCGGCGCCACTTCAGGAAGTAACCCCTGGCAACAGAAAACCCAAAAGGAAAATGAAAAGAGCGACTGCGCCGCCGAAAATGGCCAGCCCCAGGGCGATAATGTTTCGAGCACGGGGCCCAGGAAGTGAAAAGAGCATGCGTAGCGGAATTAGAGAAGAGGCGAAATGGTGGCCAGAGGGGCGCTTCAGATGCAGAGAGGTTTAATCTGGAGTAAACCCTTTCCTGTGGTGAGGCACTGCAGGTACAAGTTCACAAAGGTTTAATCCAGATTAAACCTTTTTTTAACTCGTGATTACACACTTTTTCGGGGATGGGGGAGGGGGAGGAGGAGGAGGAGGAGGAGGAGGAGGAGGAGGAGGAGGAGGAGGGACGAGGAGGACGAGGAGGAGAAATGGGGGGGGTGCGAGCAGGTCGAGGAGGAGAAGGACGAGGAGGAGAACCGAGGAGGAGCGAGGAGAAGGAAGAGCCGTCACAGCTATGGAGTGGAGCAGCCGACCTGCAGCCCGCAGGCGGGAAGGCGGCCAGGGCGCCGTTGCATTACGGCTGGCGGGGCGGGCCTCACCGCTCAGCGCTTGCCCCCGACGACAGGAGGCTCCTCCTCCTCCTCCTCCTCCTCCTCCTCCCTTTGCTCCAACTCCTGCTCCTCCTCCTCCTCCTTCTCCTCCTCTTCCTCCTCCCCCTCCTCCTCCTCCTCCTCCTCCTCCTCCCCTCGGGTGTTGCCAGACGTGGTCCTGGCCCGAGGTATCCCCAGTTTCCCGCGCTACTCTGTAGCCTCCTCCCGGCCCTCTGGGCCTCGTGCGGGGTGCTCTGGAGGCCGCCGCCCCCCCGGGGATCCTGAGGGCACCCTGGGCAGCGCCCGATGTCCGCACGACTCCGCCCGCCCCCGCCCGCGCGCCCACTCCCCCCGCCCTGGTGGCGCGCCCGAACCGAGGAATCCGTGAAGAACGACGTGCAGGAGGCCGCCAGGGGGGCGCCGGAGGAGGGAGGGAAGGGGGGGTCGGGCCAAGGTCCAGGCCTCCCCAGTAGCGTCCGAGTAGATGTGGTCGGAGGATTGCGCCGCATCGCCGATGCATTGCCGATGTGTGTTTCGATGCGGAGCCCGATTTTGACTCCACGCCGATAGTGCCGATGCAACGCCGGCTGTGCTGATGCATCGCCGATGCATCGGGGATACGGCACGATCCTCCGACCCGTATCAATTGACCTCATCTAGGAATCCAGAAGGGCTCTAGGAAGGGGGATCGCGACCAGGGGGCTTGCCAGCTTCTTCTGGAAGTCGAGGTTCCTGGAGGTTTCTGGACGCTGGGGTTGTCTCGGTCTTGGAAGGCCGGGCCGCTGGAGCGGGCCCACCTCCTCGAGGGAGTGGGCTGCTTCGAGGGGGGGGGCCTGGCCCGCCCTGGTGGTGACCACCCGTGGCATTGCCCCGAGGAATGGGAGGATCGTGTGGAGAATCGTTTCCTGAGACTCGGGTGTTGCCAGAAGTGCCCCTGGTCCAAGGTGCCTCCCAGGATCTCCACGGAGGCCCCCGGGTGTCTCCAGAGCCCCCCTCACGAGGCCCAGAGGGAGGAGGAGGAGGAGGAGGAGGAGGAGGAGGAGGAGGAGGAGGAGGAGGAGGAGGAGAAGGAGGAAGGAAGAAAGGAAAAAAGGAAGGAAGGAAGGAAGGAAGGAAGGAGGGAGGAGGGAGGGAGGGAGGGAGGGAGGGAGGAGGAGGAGGAGGAGGAGGAGGAGAAGGAGGAGGAGGAAGGAGGAGGAGGAGGAGGAGGAGGAGAGAGGAGGAGGAGGAGCAGGAGCGAGGAGAAGGAGGAGGAGGTGGAGGAGGAGGGGGCGGCAGGGAGGGAGGGAGGCAGGGAGGGAGGGAGGGATGGAAGGAGGGAAGAAGGGAGGGAGGGAGGGAGGGAGGCAGGGAGGGAAGGAGGAGGAGGAGGAGGAGGAAGGAGGAGGACGAGGGTGTCACCCCTTGGCGTTGCGCCTGAGACCACCCCAGGACGCCCGCCCCAGGACTCCCCCTCGCACACGCTGGCGGGGTGGGCGAGTTCTGACGGAGCAGTTAGGGGGGGCACGTCGGCGTCGAGCCCCGGGGGGGAGTGAAAAGGAAGGCCTTCTCAGAAGGCGGCGGGACTTCTCAGAAGCTCTCTGGCCTTTGAGACGTTTTCTGTGCCTTTGGGGAAGGCTGAGAGAACTTCTCAGAAGGCGAGGGGACTTCCGAGCCTTCTGAGAAGGCCCGCCCCCTCTCGCTTCCCTCCCGGGCTGGCCGCCGATACGACTTAGCGGTAGGGGAACCTGGCGCAGATTAGCGCTGATTTTTAGATTGGCCCCCCTTGCTCTAGCTCGGCATGGCTGCGTTTTGCTTGAGCCAGGGTGGTCGGCGCCAGAGGCCTCCGAGGTCGCACCAAAGATGGGCCCCGGGAGGTCGGGGAGGGGGGAGGCCTGGGGCATGGGTCCGGCTGGACGAAAGTGTAGGAAAAGGAAAGGGGCGGGGGTACGAAATTTGCTGCATGCAGGTGGTTTCGGCCCAGCCTCCCGGCCCATTCCTCGATACATTGGCAGTTCACCAAAGAGACACCACAGGACACCGACGGGACAGCGATGGGAAACCCGCGCGACTATGGCACATCGACGGGGCACCGATGGGGCACCGACGGGACACCGACGAATATCACCGTCGATCCCAGCTGGTGGTGCTGACAGTGACAACAGTTTGGCACCTCTGATTTTCTGCGACCCCCCCCCAAGTCTCCCTATGGACACCACCAGGACACCATCGAAACACCACCGGCACACCATCAGGACACACATCGGGACACCAATCGGGACACCATCGGAGCACCACACTAACTATATACATGTATGTATGCATATATGTATGTATGTATGTATGTATGTATGTATGTATGTATGTATGTATGTATGTATGTATGTATGTATATATATACATATAGATGGCGCCCCCCCTGTGATCTACCTCAGCTTCTTTGCGGCCTTGACTTCCACTCGGAGGCACTCGGGGGAGCGGGAGGGAGGGAGGGCGGGAGAGCCGGATAGCGGGAGAGCGGGCGGGCGGGAGAGCGGGAGAGCGGGAGAGCGGCCCCCCCGGCCCCCCCGACCCCCCCGACCCCTAAGGAGGTTCATCGCGACGGTGTTCTTCCTCCATATTGCCCCTCGTGGCTCGTAAGCCCAGACACGGCCTCCTCTTTTTCAAAGGCGACGCATAGATCCGAATCTCTCTTCTGAGAGTTGGTGGTTGTTGTTTTTAATCGGTACTCTGGTTTCAGCGTCTCGCTCGCGATTGCCATTTCATTTTTCCGAGAGCCGCGAGAGTCCGGGCCCCCCGCCAAAAATTCGCGAGAGTCCCGCGAAAGATTCGCGTGAATCCTTCGCGCACTGTCTTCGGAGGCGCCCCCCAGGCTATCTCGCCCCCTTGGAACCCCCCTAGGCGATTCGCGAGGGCTGTTCCCACGCGAGACCACCCCGGGCGACTCGCGTAGGAAATGAGCGGCGAAGGCCCCCCCGGATGATTCCACCGCTCGGACCGACCCCCCCGGGCGAGTCGGCCCGTCCTGGAACCCCCCCGGGCGATCCAGGCCCCTCCGCGCCCTCCCAGGCGAGCGGGGGCGCCTACGGGAAGAACTCCCGCCTGAGCTCCCCCTTTTTGAGGGAACTTTGGCGGGGGCCATCCGCGCCAGGGCGGCAGTCGAACCCCCCCCCCAGGCGCGACCGCGGCAGATTCCTCCTACATAAAAGCACAACATAATCTAGAGAACAAAAATCAGTAACCAACACACAAACACAAACAAACACCGGGCGGAACATAACAAACACATAACACAAAAACCACACACACGCACACAAACATTACTGAATTATGGTTCTGACTTTGCACACCTAACCCTGGTCACATATCCCGCCTCGTACCTCCGACGAACGACGACCGCGTACCGCGGACGCCAGGCTTAAAATGTGCTGGTGTTCCCTGGACATCCTGCCTCGCCGGCGATCGCTCGAACGAAAATGAACGATCCACGTCTTGTATTCGTTGGCATCCTCGGGTGTGGCTCGTGGACGCAGCCCAAGAGAGCTGCTCTGGACGGACCCTGCGGGCGGTCCGTGGGTTGCTTCTGATCGGGATTCGGGCGAGGCCCTCTGGGGTCACCCGCAGGCGCGCGAAGCGCACTGCGCTGCGCGGACCAGCCCGGGGTGTCACACGCGAGAAGGGAAAAGTACACCAGATTTCGTAATAAAAGGGAGGGGGTCTGGACCCTCCAAGACAAGCCATTTCAGACCTCCCCCGTGGGAGAACCCTCCAAAACATCGTCCCCAGACCCCCCAGGCCCTCCAAGATAGCCTGGAAGAGACCCCCCCCCCGAAATGAGACCCCCCTCCCTTGATTACGAAATATGAAGTATGGAACACGAGTCGGTCGAAGCAGGGTCGGTCTATTCTTTGATCTTCTGGGCGATTCGAGGCTTGCTTATCGGAGTGCGTCTACAAGTGCAGCGGAGGATTCAGCGATGCACCTCTCTGGTTGGCATCACCTGCGATCCGTGCCATGTGATTGGTATATCATGCGGCGTTGCCTTTCGCTTTCGCATGCTGGACTGTCCAATGAAGAGCACTTGCACGTGAACGCACAGGCAATCGAATACTGCATCGAAGACGCCTACGGCGAATCACCGCCGCCCCTTGCCTTCTAGCATGCGCCTATGTGGCCAAACGTTGGGCATTGTTTGGGCATGCTGCTGGACCATGCGTGCCCCCAGCCGGTGTGGAAACCCTTCGGGGAACACGTGGGGAAGGGACGAGGAGTATGAGGAGAGGGAGGCAAAAAGAGTGGATGAGGAGGAGGAGGACGAGGAGGAGGAGGAGGAGGAGGAGGAGGAGGAGGAGGAAGAGGAGGAGGAGGAGGAAGAGGAGGCCTCTTGGAAACCACTTGGGGCACTCTTGGGTCCACCTGGGAGCTTCCTGGGGTCCTCTCGGAGGCCTCTCGGGGGCCTCCTTGGTGCTCTCGGGGCTCTTAAGGGTTTCTCGGGAGCCTCTTTGGCCATCTAAGGGCGCTTCAGGCCCCCAAGACGCCGTCGGACGGCGTCTTGGGGGTCTCTTAGGGCCCCTTTGGGGTGTTTCAGGGCCGTCTCGGAGGCCATCCTGGGCGTCTTGGAGGCCTCTGGGGCCGTCTTTGGGCCTTCGTGTGCCAGTCTTGGAGGCCCTTTGGGCCGTATGGGGGCCATCTTGGAGGCCGCTTGGGCGATCTTAAGGCGATCTTTTGGGCCTCTTGTCAAGGGAGGAAAATACACCCGGACGGGACAATCGTCTTTTACTAAACGACCGTGGGCGTTTATGAAACAGCCCTGCCCTGTATGATTCCTTCATTGGGTGCGTTTACTAAACGGCTTCGCGTGCCGGGGTGGTTATTATCGTGGTGGATTTTCCGGATTTTCCGCCCTCTATCTTGGGACTTGTTGGGTAGTCGGGAAGCCGGAAAGAAGCAAATGCAATCATCCTCCAAAAAGAAGGGAAATTTGTGGATGTGTGCCTCGTCGGGCTTGGAGGCCCTGTTGGAGACCTCTTCTGCCGTCTTGGAGGCTTCTTGGAGGCCTCTTGAGCCGTCTTGGCCCATTCTGAGGCCATCTTTGGCTGTCTCGGGTGCATATTGGGCCGTCTTGGGTGCATCTTGGGGCCATCTTGGGCTCTCTTGGGGCCATCTTGGCCGTCTTGGAGGCCTCTGGGCGGCCATCTTTAGCTGTCTCGGGGGAGTTTTTCCACACGTTGAGGTTGTTTCTGGTCCCTTCGCGGTGGCCAGCGCAAGGGACCGAAGCCCAACGGGAAGTGTTCAAAAAGATTCAGAAACCATCAGACGTTCAGCGCGCTGGGCAACCTTGAGATGAATCGACAGGGGGCGGCGGATCCATGACGCCTCTGGGGAATCACCGCCGCCCCCTGCCTTTTTTGAAGCGCCTATGCGGCCGAACGTTGAGGCCAGATCTGCCAAGCCATTGGACCATGTGTTCCCCGAATCTGTTTGCAAAGCATTCGGGGAACACGTGGGCATCTTGAAGGTCCTCTGGGCCGTCTGGAGGCCATTTTGACCCTTTCGGGTCTTCTTGGGGGACGTCTTGGAGGGCTCTTGGGCCGTCTTCGATGCCACCTTGAGCCTCTTGGGAGCCGTCTTGGGCCGTCTTGTGGGCCTATTGGGGCCGTCTTGGGCCTTTTGGGCGATCTTTGGGGGCTCTTGAGCCGTCTCGGTCCGTCGGAAGGCCGCAAAAAAGCACATGCCACAATCCTTCAAGACATATATATATATATATATATATATATATATATACATATATATATATGTGTATATATAGGAAATCCATGATTTTGCCCTTTGCGGGCCTTCCTGGAGGCCCAGTTGGAGGGCCCTTGGGCCCTCTTGGGCCATCTTAGGGCCATCTTCGGCCGTGTTGGTGGACTCCTGGCCCGTCTGACTCCGTCGGAAGCCGTTTGGGGTGCTCCAGGGCCGTCTTGGAGGGCCATCTTGGGCGTCTTAAAGGCTTCCTGGTCCGTCTTGGGGGCCTCTTGGGGCCGTCTTGGGGGCCTCTTGGGCCGTTTTTGGGCCATCTTGGAGGCCTCTTGGGCGATCTTTGGGCGATCTTTGGGGGCTCTTGGGCCGTCTCGGTCCGTCGGAAGGCCAACAAGACGCAAATATCATAATCCGTCAAATGTTTAAGGAATATCAGTGTTTTTGACCTTTTCTGGCTTTCCTGGAGGCCCTCTTGGAGGCCGCTTGGGCCGTCTTGGGCCAGCTTCGAGCCAACTTCGGCCATCTTGGTGGGTTCCTGGCACGTCTGACGCCGTCGGGAGCCGTCTTGGGGGCCTCTCTGAACCGACTTGGGGTCCTCTTGGGGCGCTTCGGGGCCGTCTTGGAGGCCACCGTGAGCGTCTTGGAGGTCTCTTGGGCCGTCTTGGGGCCCTCACGGGGTCGTCCTGTAGGCCTCTTGGGCTGTCATGGGGCCCTCTTGGAGGCCTCGTGGGCGATTTTGGGGGGGATTGGTGGCAGCCTTCTGAGGGCCGTCTTGAGCCGTCGGAATGCCGAGAAGAAGCAAATGCTAGAATCCTTCAACAACCTTGGGAAAATTAATGATGTTCGCCTCTTCGGGCCCTCCTGGAGGACCTCCTGGGGGCTTCTTTGGCCGTCTTGGAGGCTTCTTGGGCGAACTTGGACGTATCTGGGACCCTCTTGGGCCGTCTGAGTGGCCGTCTTGGACCATCTTGGGCGAGCTTGAGGGCTATCTTCGCTGCTCCCTCCCGGGATCCCGGCGGGACGCGCCCGAGCCCCAGGGGGAGTTCTTTTGGAAAAGATCCGAAACCAGGCACCCCTGTGGCAAGCCAGCAGGGGGCGGCGGATTTAATGGGCTTCGGCACGTCCCGCCACCACACCCAAGTTGCAGGTATGAAGCCTATTGGATGTTCGCTGGGATCTCGTGGGGGGCCTCTCTGGGGCCTTGTGGAGGCTGTTTTGAGGCCTCGTGGGGGCCGTTTTGGGATCTCTTGGGACCTCTTTTGGTCCTCTTGGGGGCCTGTTCGGGCCTTCTTGGGGCCTCTTGGGCGCCTCTTGGGGCCTCCTAGGAGCCTCTTGTGGCGGACGGCGTGGATTTTCGGTCGGTTCGTGTTCCCTGTCTTGGGCCCCTTTTTGGGACCGCCTTTGGAATGGCTGTTTGAGAATAGCCGGCACCCGCGGCCGCTTAGCTGATTTCTTCCCGCCGGAGGCCCGTGCAGCAGCGGCGTGGGAGTCGGCGGTGAAAGCATGGCGCGACTGACCGGTCGCTTGTCCATTTTGCGTGCTTCCTGCTTGTGCACCGTCTGGTGCTAGCTGTCCCCCTCCCCCTCCTTCTCCCCCTCCTTCTCCTCCTCCTCCTCCTCCTCCTCCTCCTCATTCTCTGTGTCACCTTAGTGTGACCGGCGCCACGCCTATTTGAAGTTTCACTTTGCTCACGCACCGGCCGGTGCAAGGCTTACTTGACTTGACTTGATTTGGAGCCTTTTTCGGCCGTCTTCGGCGCCTCTTGGGCCGTCTCAGGGTGCTCTTAGGCCTTCTTGGGGCGGTCTTGGGGGCCTCTTGCTCCGTCTCGGAGCGTCGGAAATCAGAAAAGGCGAGACCGCCCAAATCTCTCAATCACCTGATGCAAATCAATGATTTGTGCCTCTTCGGAACCTCTGGGGAGGCCTCTTGGGCCATCTTGAGGCTATTTGGGGCGTCTTGGAACGACCTTTCGGCGACTCGAGGCCATCTTGGACTGTCTTGGTGTCGTCTTGGGACCTTCTTGACCCGTCTTTGGGCCCTCCTGGGTCCGACAAAGTCACGCGCAAAGCGGCGGGGAGTGGCGCCAAGCTCCGAGAGAGTTGACAATGTTGTGTCCGGGCCTTAAGGAAACTTCAGGAGGGAGGAGTGAGGCTCAGAGGAGGAGGGAAAGGACCTGAGGGCACGCCCACTCTGTGCCCAAGGGCGCGGTGGCGGATGCGCGGATGGATGAGTCAGTGCCCGTGCGTGCCCACGCGTGGGTGCTCGCTCTTGTGGGGCGCGGGCGTGGAAGCGCACGAGTGCGCTGTCGCTCTATTGTCTTGTTCTTTGGGCAGTGTGAAGCACGGGAGCACGCGCGCGTACGTCAGTGTGCTTGCAAGTATGTGCGCACGTAGGTGCTCGTGTGGCTGTCTGAACGGGGTGCGTTCGGGCGCTTTCGATGGGGAAGCAGTGATAGCGGCGCTGCGACAGCACTCCCGACTGTGATATGCTCCCCTTAGATGCATCCGTCGAGCCAGGGGTTGAAGGATTGCAGCCACGTTCGCCCGCCCGATATTTGATCTCTGCGTAATCTCAACCAAATCAGCCCTACCATAACACCCTGCGGAGAGGGCCAAACCATTGATTTGAATGATGCTCTCGTGTGACCTGTCCAACGGGATGTTTGGAGTGCGAGAGCCTTTGGGTGCCCAACCTGAGACTCTCGCGTCCCGCACCCAGAGCTAAGTCATGGATTCCCCGTGGGACGCCCGCCATTGGGTAACATGTCCTCCTCGTCCCCGCGCTCCTGCGGAAGGCGGTTGATAGGAGTGTTCGCCAGAATGCCTCGTCGTGGTGCTTTCCGGGATATTTACATAGTCAGGCTAGAACCTCTCGGCAATGAATCTTGAGTGGATTTTGAAACTTCTCGGCAGAAGCAAAGAGCTGGCGAGTCGTGAGGAAACTGTGTGTTGAGAATCGAGCCGGCACTGTTGCTTGCGCGTTCTTCCCAGCGGTCGCGCGTATCATCGGCTAATGTTGCCAGCGTTCCCCATGTGATTTCAACGTGTGCACACTGTATGAACAACAACTACATCCTCCTTAGCTCCAGACAGGGAAGTCACGTATCGGCAAGGCAATCAGCGGAGACACAAACAGTGTAGTTGTTGTTGAATTGCCCTCCACAGTGTAAATTTGTCGTTTCGCCGCAACGGCGGCTCCGCGTTCGACGGGAGGGCGTGCAGATTCAACCATTTGTGGGTGAGCACGCTTCGCATTCCTCAATTCCCGCTCGCCCTGTGGTCATTGCAGCAGCTGGTATCCAAGCTTATGGGCGGGGGCTGGCTGGCATATCATAGTTTGTCTTGCCGTCGGCCTTGGCCGACGTCAGACCGTGCAAATTTGCATGCTGGCGTCGAGGATGCTTCTTTGAGCTCGGGAAATGGATCAAGGAGGCATCGGGGGTGTAGGAGTGCTGGCGAGCGCAAGCCAGTCAGCGGGCCGGCACCTCGAACGTCCGAGTCGGCAACGTGAGCTTTGGAAGTGGAATTGGCCCCTTACCCAAACCGGTAGTCTGTCGATGGGGCCCAGGCAATTATTTTGTCCAGGACGCCTTTAATGTTATGTCTCTCCCGTCGCTTCAGGGTCGCTTCTCCCGTCCTCCGTCTTCTATCTCCTTCCCCTCCACCTCCTCCCCTTCACTCGCGGACGGGATCGGTGGGGCCGAGTCGAAATCGGCAACGTTCTGGGCTGAGCCCTAGGAGCAGTTGCTGGCTGGCTGGCCAAGCCGCACATGTTTAGACGGCTTCACGATGCGACGGCAACGCAAAACGTGTCTCCGTCCGTTTCGCGCACCCAGCGGTGGAGGAGGAGGAGGCGGGGCAGGATCAATAGCATCACTGGCAGCATGACGAAGCGGGATACGAGGAGGTACTGGAGGAGGAGAAGGACGAGTTAGTGGAGAGGGGCGGGGCGAGGGATCTGAACAAAAACAGATCGGGGTTCCGATGCCGCCCCGCATAAACTGTTGTCGAACTCGAGCGGTTGGCGCGGCCACCAGCCCTCCCGCAGGTGCCCCAAATAATCAAAATACAATCTTCATATTGAGGGTCTTGATAAGTGCACCGCCGTGGCATCCCAAAACATGAAGGGACACCCAGGTCAAATTCACAACGATGTGATTTTCGAAATGGATGTCGAAGCGGATTCCGAAGTGTATTTCGAAGCGGATTTCGACGTGGAATTCGAGTGTGGATGTCGGTTTGAATTTCGACGTGCCTAGAGGCCTTGTTTTTCGAGATGGATTTCGGAGTGGATTTCAAGTGAACATTTGTGGCCCTGTTTTTGGGCACCCCACACGCAGTTGAGAGGCCCCGACAATCCACAGCGAATCCACACCAGCACCCACATCGACATTCACACCGAATGTCCGGGGAGGCAACGCCACGCAGGGCGGAACAGACATGTGCCGCGGCTCTCCGAGGAGAGCGTTCGACGGAATTGCCCGCGGTAGCAGCAGCAGGTGCAGGAGGAACCCGAGAGGAGCCGGCGCAGACGTCGGGGCAGGGCTGCGAGGGGGGGGCAAAGGGCTGGACCAGCAGGGGGAAGAGGAGGGCGGAGGGTGGCGGAGGAGCGCCTGCCAGCACCGATCGGTGCCCGCGGTCGCGTGGGAGTGGTTGTCAGAGCTGGTGGGGCACCTGCGTCCGCCCGTCCGCGCCTGTGGGCGGTTCCCGTCCGCGCCAGCGACCGCTTCCCGAGCAAAGAGCGCAAACCGGAGCAGGGGCGGGGACGACGGCAGCAACGGGGTCAGAGGCGCGGCCGGCGCTGGAGGGAAAAGGACGGAGGGAAAAGGGGAATGGGGGGAGGAGGAGGAGGACAAGCTAGGTGCGCTCGCGTCATATCTGACGTCCTACCCCTCCCTCCCATCCCTTACCATGGCGCTGATTTTCTCTATCCGCGGACGCGTGTCGTAGCGGACCTGTGGCTCCGCGCGCGCGTGCGTAGTGGGTGGTGGTGCACGTGCGTGCGTGCGTGCGTGTGTGCGTGGTTGTCGTGGTGGTGGTGGTGGTGGTGTGGTGGTGGTGGTGGTGTGGTGGTGGTGGTGGTGGTGCTGGTGGTGGTGGTGTTGGTACTGGTGCGTGGTGCTGGTGGTGGTTGTGGTGGTGGTGGTGGTGGTGTTGGTGGTGGCGGTGCGGCGCGGTGGTGGCGGGCGGATGGGCGCGCGAGAAAAAGGCCCGCGCTGGGGCGAGAACGCCATCCTGAACGACGGAGGCCAAACACCGATCCGAAAATGAGGCCCACGCTGCAGCGGGAGCACGATTCGGAACGATTCGGGAGCAGAAATGAGGCCGGCGCCCAACGAGAGCAGCATTTTGGGAAAAAATGACGCCGGCGCCTCAGCGAGAGTCGTTTCCCGGGATTTCCCGGGCATCCTGTGTGTTAAAAAACAGTACGCGGAGGGTGCGCGGCCATCACCCGGACGCCATCAGGGGAAGGATTCGGGAGCAGAAATGAAGCCGGCGCCTCAACGAGAGCAGCATGTTGGGAAAAAATGATGCCGGCGCTTCAGCGAGACTCGTTTCCCGGGATTTCCCGGGCATCCTGTGTGTAAAAAACAGTACGCGGAGGGTGCGCGGAGGGTGCGCGGCCATCACCCGGACGCCATCAGGGGAAGAGGGAAAGTATATTCATATTGAGGAATTGTAGAGGAGAGGGGGAGGATGAGGCGGTGGAGGCGGAGGAGGTTCGGACCTGTTTTTTTGTTTTTTTTTTTTGCTTGGTTGCCTAAGCACGAACTGATTACGAAGTCGTCCCATGACCCAGTGTTCTTTCAAAACATGGAAAAGGCCAGGCAGGAACCCGCAGGCGGGATCTGTCACGAAATGCGTCTCTTGACATTTTTGACCCCTGGGGCTCGGCCAGGTTGCGCTTCTTCGGCGCCGAAGGATGGGGCAAACCAAACCGTCGCGCCTGGATCGCAAAAGGCCCGAACTTTCGCTGGAATGTGCCACGCGGGGGCTTCAACCTTGCAGGCGCGGAGGTCTAAGTGGCCTCCCTCGAGCGCCGCGTAACGATCTGGCGGCCGTCCTAGATGAACAAAAAATGGTCACCGCGCCATGCCTTTTGGCGCATCCGCCCGCTTGGCGGTCCGTGCCTCAGAATGCCGCGCGGACGTCTGGGTTCGTGAGAGCTCTGTCCATGGTCGAAGCTGTCCTGCAGGTGCGGGGGTACCGCTCGCGAGTGGCCATAGGCCACCGCGTGCTGCGTGATGGCGCTTCCGCACGTGCGGGGGTGAGTGCCCAGTGCCAGGCGGGCGTCTGGAGGCATGGGATATCCCGCGTTGGTCACGATTTTGAAGCAGGTGCGGTGGCGCCGCTCGCAAGTTAGTCGGGCAACCCGCAGGTTGCGGGTGCTTCGGCTGGCGCAAAACGCAGCCATGCCCTTCGCCGCGTTTCGATCGTTTCCATCGCCAGTGGTGCGTGTTCACGCGAGCGGGGCCGTTCGTAAGATATGCCCCCCGTGGTGGCGACGCTCGTCTCCTGGGCGGCGCGCCCGCGCGTGTCCGCGTTTTCATAGCGCGCGCACTCGGACAGGCGAGGAGTTCCATCTTCCGAGATGCAGGAGCGAATCCTCGTAGTGCTTGCTGCGACCTGGCAATCGTTTCGTGGTGTCTTGCAATGGCGCCGCGAAGAGTGATCGAGCTGAATGCCGACGCCTGAAGTATAGAGGGTACAGGTTAGAAGTTACTGAAGCCCAAACCAAAACAAACACCGTAAGCAGTCATGTGTACACCCACGCACGTGCTGCCCAGGTACACCGCCGCGTTCCACTGCCTTGCCGCGGCAATTTCAAAACAACAGCCGCCGCCCATCCAGCAACTTTTCAGCTTATCAGGCTGTGCGCCCAAGGCAAGCCTGAAGGCCCAAAGGTCCATGGTGTGCGCCTGTGGTGTTCCGTTGTGATGTCGAAACAGTTGAGCGGCGTGGGGCAATCAGCGGAAATACCCGCGTGGACACGACGATGCTAGTGTTTCACGCTCCGTGGCGCTGGCCTCAGAGCCGCATCTCTCCAGCAGGGCTTGCAAGGGGGTTCGAAGGTAACGTCGCCTCACGCGTCGCGAAAAGCGATGTTGGGTCACCCGTTGTAGTGCCGAGGCCTTTGTTGTACGGCGGTTGGAATGCGTTGCGGAGTCAGCGGTAAGGCAAACCCGTTCATTCTGGATGTATGGCAATTGGGCATTTGACACCCGTCATAGTACAGCGGCCACATTTGATGCGAAAGCTTGATGTCAAGCTTGGTGACGCTTGAGCACTCAAAAGTAGATTTGCGGATGCAAACACGAGTGTGGACCGCAACGTGAACAGCAAAGGCCACGGCCGAGTTTTTTCCCAGCCGCAGCGTCATCGTCGGCAAGTTTGTCGTGTCATGAGGCCATGGCAGACGCAGTGACGCCTTGGACGGACACAGAGGCTGGGGACAGTAGCAGGAGGAGCAAGAGGAAGAGGACCAGGAGCAGGTTTAGAAGCAGGAGGAGGAGCAGGAGGAGGAGCAGGAGGAGGAGGAGGAAGAGGAGCAGGAAAAGGGAGGGGCAACAGCAGACGCAGCAGCAGGAAACTGTCCCGACCCCCCCCCCTTGCGCAGCCCGTGCTACGAATGAGCGCGCGAGCATCGCGTGTATCTCGCCCTTCCCGTTTGCGCACGTTCTGCGCATCCCCTCTGCATTCCCACGGTGGGGGAGCGTTTGCACGGGGGGGATCGTGCGGTCTGCTGCCCCCCTTCGTCTTCTCCACACGCACCCTTTTCAGCGGCCTTCGACATTGATCCAGGATGTCGCGTGCGTCACCTCGCGCCGCTCCGGCAGAGCGCGGCGGAAGAGCACCGCGCGCGCCTCCGACAGGAGCCCGCGGCAAGGGCGGAGAGTATAAGGACAGGTCCAGGTGCCTGAAAGACTGCCGGGACACGGCCCCCCACCTCTCTCGGGTCGGGTGAGAAGGGGGGGGGGGAGGGGGAATGGTCGGACCAGGGGGTGCGACATCTGCTGTGTGCAGCCTGTTTCGGCCCCGCCGCCGTGGCGTTTTCCTCGCTACATGGGCCGCCTTTTGCGCGAGGAGGCGCCCGGAGAACAGCCGCGTGAGCCGTTGCGCTGCGTAACCCCCTCTTTGCTATCCCCTCCCCCCTCGTCCGCCTCGCCCCGGCTCTTGCTGTGCTGTCTCGGCGGCTCGGAGTTCGTCGCTGCGGCCTGGGTTCAAGCAGTGGCGCAGCGTCCTGGCGTGCCTTTAGGCCTACCAAACAATGTTCTAAGAACCTTTTGTGGGTTCCACGAAAATTGTCTTAGAACATTTCTGGCTGGGACTGTTTTGTTTTCGCACATCGGGTTTATGTTCAAAGAACATTTTTTGTTCCTGCAACATTTGGAGGTTCTAAGAACATTTTGTGGCAGGCCTATAGGAATGCTGGGACGGTCGGTCCCTGCTCAACGGGTCCCAGTTGGCCAGTTTTGACGACTCGATCCTAGATCACAAATGCACGGGCAAGGCAGGCTTGTGCTCCCGCTCGGGTAGACCACATCCACACCTCGAAGGAAAGGAGACGGCAGGCTGGACTCTCTTCCAGATGGGGTACGGGACACTGTTTCAATCGATTTCAGTTGTTGATGAGGAGGAGAAGGGCGCGACCGATGATGATTGAAATGATGATGCTGATGCTGATGTTGATGATGCTGACGATGATGATGGTCATGAGGATGATGTTCGTGATGATGGTGCTGCTGGTGATAGGGATATCTCCTGATGGTTCCGTTGATACCCATGCTCATGATGATTATGAGGATGAAGACGACGTTACTTCCTGAGGATTATGAGGATGGAGCTCATCATGGTGATGCTGATGCTGATGGTGCTGGTGATGATGCTGATTGTATTGGTGATGAGCATGATGCTGTTGATGGTGCTTTTGACGTTGGCGATGATGATGCTGCTCATGATGATGGTGATGACGATGCTGATCATGATGGTGCTGATGACGATGATGCTGGGTATGATGATGATGCTGACGCTTGTTGTGATGATATTGATGAGGATGCTGATGATGATGACGGTTTCGATGATTATGATGGTTAGGCTGACGTTGATGATCATGATGATGATGCTGATGCTGTTCATGATTATGATTATGATGCTGAAGCGAGTGACGATGATAATGTTGTTGTCGATGCTCATTCTGAACATGTTGATGATTATGTTGGTTGTGATGATGCTGGTGATGATGATGAGGTTGAGTATGACTATGACGATGTGAATGTCGATGACGACGATGATGACGACGATGATAATCAGGTGCCGATGCTCATGACGCCGATGCCGATGACGATGACGGTGGCGATTCCGATGGTGATGTCGGTGAAACGATGCTGATGACGATGTTGATGATGTTGTTGGTGATGTTGTTGCTGATGATGCTGACGGTGTCGATGACGATGATAATAAGGTGCCGATGATGATGACGCCGATGGTGATGACGATGACGGTTACGATTTCGATAATGATGTTGGTGAAGATGGCATTGATGATGCCGCTGATGAGGTTGTTGAGGATGTTGGTGATGATGATGATGTTGATGATGTTGTTGTGGGTGATGAAACTGCGAATGATGAAACGGCTGCTGGTTATGATGGTGAGGGCGATGAGGATGCGGATACTGGTGGTTATGGTGATTTTGATAATGATGATGATGATGATGCTGATCATGATGATTGCGTTGAGAACGATGATGATTATGATGGTGAGGATGATGATGTCGATGATGATGATGACGATGACGATGACGATGCCGGTTGTTGTGGTGGTGATTGTGATGAGGAGGATTGTCATGGTGAGGGTGATCATGGCGATGGTGCGGTCGATGGTGATGATGATGATGATGGTGATGGTGGCGGTGATGTGATGATGATGATGAGGATTGTGATGGTTATGGTGGTGGTGGATTATGATGGTGGGGGTGGTTGTGATTGTAGTGGTGATGGTGGTGGTGGTGGTGGATGATGGTTGTGGTGGTGGTGATGATGATGAGGAGGATGAGGATGATCAGGATTAGGACGGCGGTGGAGGAGGTTGCCGACAGATGAGGAGGTCTGTGGTGATGTGGACTCCTGCAACGGGCCGCCCTCCCCGAGGACGAGTGCCTGCCGCCAGACGATGAGGACGGGCCCGCCGCTCCCTCCCGGGGCCCGGGATCACGGGATCCTTTAGCATCCTCGCACTGCTTCCCCCTCCTTCCTCGGGGCCACGTTAATCGGAGGTTGATAGACCTCGTACCCTGACACGTCGATTAGCGAATTGGCCATTTTCGGTTCGCGAGAGGGCGTCGCGACCGTCGTTTTTGCGGGTCCAGGTCCGTCGGTGTCGGTCCCAGGCCGCAGTCACTAAAGGGAGGTTTACTCAAGGGAGGCTTGTCCACCGCCGAGTTAAGCGAATAACGAAATACGGCGTAACCATATCATTGTGGCGGTCCGCGCTGATTTCTTGGATCTGCGCTGGGATCCTTGACGGCGCCTTCTGCGGCGCCCCTGGCGCGCTCCGCGCTCCAGGGAGTGGGGTCCAGCTCAGATCCAAGAAATCTGCGCGGACCGTCAACAGATGATGTTTACGCCGTTTTATTGTTCATCTTTGATCAGGGCAAAGTCAACGGATGATGCGCTCAGGGGGAATGCATCGACCCTCAACATCGTCCATCGAACGCCGATAAGGGCCCGATAGCCCCCCGACCAGGAACGTGCGGATTTGCTCTCGAGGGCCTATCGCCCATCTATAGGTGATTTATCACCGATTCCAGGTCGACGCTTCCCCCTCTGAGCCAGTCACCCCCGCCCTATCGTTGCCCCGCATCTCCCTCTCCTCTTCCGTACGGCATATTCGTGTCGTGTCGGCGCAGCGGCGATCTCAGCGGGCGCTCAGGGTTGAGCGCAACCAGTGGCCCGTCATCGGCCAGCACCGAGCGGTCCGCGCCATGGGAGAGCTGCGACCGTTCCAGGGTGAGCGATTTACACCGTGCCAACCGCCATCGCCGACGTCAGCACGGCGCGGACCTGCCGCAACACATTCTGATTCGAGCTGCTCGCGCGCGCCAATCGCTCAGGTGCTCGTGGGGATGGCTGGACGGGAGGGGGGCCCCTGGACGTGGCCTCGTGAGGCGCTCAGGCGCGGCGCGGCGCGCGGCCCAGGCTGCGGCGGTGGTCGCTGCAGTTGGCCTTGGGCTTGACCTCCATGGGCATCTGCGGCAGAGGAGGCGGGGTGGAGCAGACCACAGCAAGCCGTCAGCCGCGCGCTGAAGCTCACCGAGGCCGCAACGAGCTCGGGCGATGCAGAGGCGCTACATGCTGAGCTCGAGGCGCTGCGGGCGACTGCCTCGCGTTGGAGGGCCGTGCGCTCGTTTCGTAGCTCCTGTCCTCGCTGCTGGCGCCTCAGATGCTAATGTGCCGCCCTGTGTGTGCCTGCTGTGTGTGTGCTGTGTTGTATTGTGTGCGTGTTGTGTGTGTGTGTGTGTGTGTTGCGTGTGATGTGTGTTGTGCATGCCTTTGCGATATCGGGCCCCTGGATCGGCGTGGCCTTTGTCGCCAGGCCTCATCGCCGCCTGCTCTCATGTTCCGCCTTTCGCTGCCTCCCTGGCTCTCTCCGCGGCTCCTGTTCGGCTTGGTCTGTCCTCGGCACCCGCTGCCCGTTCGCGGTGCAGCCGCCCTCTACCTGGCGCCGTTCTTGCGGTGGCTCCGCGCTCCTACTCTGTCTCCCCCCTATGGCTGGGCTGGGTGGCTTCGCCGCTGCTATCACCTCGTTTCCCCAGCCATCCTGTGGTGTTGGACCCTCGGTTTGAAGAGATAGCTACCCGCGTCCTCACCTGCCGCCTCCCCCTCCTCCCCCTCCCGACCCTGCTCTCCGTGCCACATCCCTCGAGCTGTTGCCCCAGCAGGCAGTTGCCCCATCGGGCAGTTGCGAGCTGTCTCCCTTTGATTTGATTCCCGGGACGACGAGGGGGCTGTTCAGAGGAGGAGGACAGGGGGCGGCCAGGAGGGAGGAGGAGAAGGAGGTCGAGGAGGGGGCAAAGGAGGAGGAGGTGGACGAGGAGGAGGAGGAGGAGGAGGAGGAAAAGGAGGAGGAGGAGGAGGAGGAGGAGGAGGGCAGGAGGGGGGGGGCGAGGGGGGGGGCGACGAGACGACGCCAGGCTCGGGCGCCCGTTCGCCAGGGGTCGTCGCCAGGGGTGGTGGCCCCGAGCGCGGGGGTGCTATAGTGGCCAGGTGGCCCTCTTATAATACTGATTCAGGTGCGCCCCCCTCGCCGCCCCCTATCCTGGGCGGGGCGGCACGGATGGGCCGGAGCGGAGCGGATGGGCTGTGGGCCGCGTTCTGCTTGTCTCATGATGGGAGGGGGGTGGGCGAACTCGCCCTCGTCCGATCATCCTCGTCGTTTTACAGGGTCCGGCGTCCGAGTGCGGTGGTTCCGCCTCGGTGCCGCGGTGGTTCCGACAATGCAAGAAGTCGGCGACGTCTTATGAACTCGCAGGCTTGGATCCGCGATGGTTCCAGTTTGGATCCGCGATGGCTCCGACGCTGCAAGTCGACGAAGCTCTCTGGATTCACACGGCTCCTGCTTGGTTCCACGATGGTTCCACGGGGGTTCGAACTGCGCCGTCGTCGTCGCACCGTGTCCGCTTGAGGGTCTGCGCGGCGCGCATCAGTGACGCTTGCGGCGTCCAGGGCCTGTGCCGCGAACTGACCTCGAGGGTGGGGGACCTGACAGACCGCGACGGGGACTGCTTCGCCAAGTGTTGTGGCTCGCTAAAATGGCACATGGTGCAATCGAAGGAACCTTTCGCACCTGTCTGTTAGGAAACCCGCCCTGAGATCCAAACGCCAGGGTTCGCATGGCGGCGCCGCCTCGTTTCGTGGCCTCATAGGGGGCCCCAGCGAAGCCACAGATGCCAGGTCTCGCATCGGGAACTCCGCCGCGGCCCCAAATGCCAGGGTTCGTATTGCGCCGCCGCCTCCAGTTTCGCATACCCCCAACGCGATTCGTGGCTCCACATGGGAGTCCCACCGAAGACCCAAAATGCCGGAGTTCGCACGGCGGCGCACCCCGCACACGTTCAACGGCCCCACAAGGAGCTCCACCAAAAGTCCCAGTGGCATGGTCCGCATGGCGGAGGTTTCGCATGGCGGCGCCGCCCCATTGCGGCGCACCCCGCAGGGAGCTCCGCCAACGAAGCCTGTGCCCGTGCAAGCAGGGCAGTGCTGCTCCATTTTGGCACAGCGGTGCGTATACGATTTTCGGCCACATGGGGAGTTACCGTTCCTTCGTCACGCCTGTTTTGCGATACTCGCGCTTGCGTATGGTTGGGTCATTCGCCAGGGCAGCTGTCCCGCACCGTCTCGTTTTCTGGGTCTGGATGCGCCCGCGCGCGCTTTCACGTTTTTTTAGAGTCGCGCCCCGTTGCCTTGCACCCGGGGTTTGGATTCAGCCGAGCGTCGGAGGAACAATGGGGTGCGTATTGCGTGCGACTGTGTATGTATGCGCTTGCTCCTCCATCGTCCTGCATTGACTTGTGTTTCCATTTTGAATCTGCAGCGCCCCGTGTCTCCTCCCATCGCGCCCCCCTTTCCCGTGTCCTCACTCCACCGCGTGCCAATTTCAATGCCCCCTCACGCGTTTCGAGGCCCCACAGGGAGTTCCGTTGGAAGCCCCCGCTTGCAGGGTTCGCATGCCGGCACCTTTCCCATCGAGCCTCTCTCCTCACGTTCCGTAGCACCAGAGGAAGCTCCTTCGAAGGATCCATTGGCAGGGGTCGTATGTTGGCGCAGCCCCCACTCCAGCACACCCCATCACAATGTTCGTGGCCCCATCGGGAGTTCCACCGACGGCTCCAAAGACAAAGTTCGCAGGGCGGCACCGCAGTCTTGTGGCCCTACAAGGAGCTCCACCGAACGCCGTAGTGAGGGTTCGCACGGCGGCGCCGTCTCCATTTCGGCGCACCGCGTACACGCTTCGTTGCCCCAAAGGGGATTCCACGCCCCAGGGTTTGCATGGCAGCACCGCTCTGTGTTGGTGCCCCCTCACACGACTCGTTGCCACATAAGGATCTCCACCGAAGGCCTTTGTGGCAGCACCCGCATGGTGGCGCCGCCCCACTTTGGCACGCTCCCCGTCCTTCGTCCCGCCTGCCTTGCGTCACTCACGCCTGAAGATGGCTGGGTCTTTCGCCAGGGTTTGGGTATTTGTTGTTATTTGTGTGTATGTGTGTGTCTGTGTGTCTGTCTGTCTGTCTTTCGGTCTGTCCGTATGTCTACCTGTCTGTCTGGCGGTCGTGTTCATTTGTTTGTTTGTTACTTAATTTGTTTGTTTGTGTTTGCGTGTGTTCAGCGGTGCCCCCCCCCGCTTCTCTCCCTCCTATCCTTGCGCCCGCTCCTGCCGACTCGTGCGCCGCACTGCACGTCTGCCATGTTGCCGCCTAGGTGCGGCCTTCGGGAGTTCTCAGGAGTGGTACGTCCCCTGGCAAGAAAGCCCGTCTGCTTGGAGGGCGATCCCCCATCGTGCACCCACTGGTCGGATTCACTGGCGTGTGGGGTGAAATGTGTATGTGATGTGTGTGGTTGTGTGTTTGGGTGTGTGTGTGTGTGTGTGTGAGTGAGGGAGTGCGTGTGTGCGATTGTTTGCGATTGTGTGTGATGGTGTGCGTGCGTTCGTGCTTGTGTGCGTATGTGTGTGTGTGAGTCCTCTTACGCACGCTGGATCGCGCGTGTGTGCGAGTGCATGTGCGTGCGGGCGAGTGCGCACATTGTGTCAAACACGGGCCCTTCAGGCTGAGTCGATGGTTTAAAGCGCCTCTGTGGTCACGTTCGGCGAAAGCTGTGCGAAAACGGGGAGGAGCGCGTGAATAAGTGAATGCATGAACGGGTACGTGAGTGTGTGTGTGTGTGTGTGCGTATGTGTGTGTATATGGATGGGTTGATTTTGACAGATCCGTTCGTATTCGTATTTTCCGTCACGTATGCGCGCCTTGGGATCAGATGCGCTATCCCGGCGCAACGCGAGGACGAGCTGGTCCTGGGCTGAGTTGGCTCCGTTTAGTTTGTTTCTTGGTGTTTCCATCAGGCCCGCTACACATCCAGACTTTCCATTCCCATCTCATGTGCTACCCTTCCGATTCGTTCTTGTCCTTTCAATCTGCTTTGCTTCCAAACATTGGATTCCGTACCAGCCAGCGAGCAATTTGTCGCATAACACATGCGACGTGAGCGTATTTGTGAATTTACCCCCATGCGATCGTCCCACAAACTCCGCTGTCTTGTTTTTGCGGCGTTGAAGCAGGCAGCCTTTCCGAGACCAGTGCAATTCCAAGCTTAGCCGAAGCGGGCGATCGGTACCAATGGAACAACGAGTACATTTAGAACACAGTTGAGGTGTTCGTTCTCAGGGAAGGTACCGTGATTGTCTCTTGAGCCCTCCGTGGTGGCCTGGTGGGGCGGGGGGCATCCGGGACCCTCCTGGAAGGTCTTGGGAGGACGCCCCGCTGAGGGCAGGAGCGGGCACCGGTGGTCGCCAGGGAGGAGGGAGGGCGAGGAACGGGAGGAAGGATTGGAGGAGGGCCCTCTAAGGACCATGAAGAAACCGGCCATATACCAACACCCATGCTGGCCGGGCAGACCCTTGGCTCAGGTTCGGTGCACCCCCCCTTCTTGGCCGGGCCAGTGAGGCGTACTCGTCGATCCTTGGTCCAGGACTGGCCTGGCCAGGATCGGGGCTAGTGAATGCTTTGGCGTCCGCCCGATGGGCGTCATGGGGCACTTCTCTCTCCCGCCCCCCTCGGCTTCCCATTTCTTGCCTGCACGGTGGTCCGAAAGCCTTGCGCCAGCCGATTCTATTTCCAAAGCACTGCTTGCTCTTGGGGGTCCTCACGTCTGTTGAAAGGATCTAGGCCTCCTAGATGGGGTCGGAGTAGATGGGGTCGGAGGATCGCGCCGCATCGCCGATGCATCGCCGATACATCGACGATGCGGCTCGATGTGGCGCCCGATTTTCCCACGCCGACGTCGCCGATGCATCGCCGCCGTCGCTGATGCATCGGCGATGCATCGCCCATACATCGGCGATGCCTTGGCGATGCGGCGCGATCCTCCGACCCCATCTACTCGGACCCCATCTAGGAGGCCTCTAAAGGAATCGGCGTGGTGTGCCGCTCTGGCGGCTATCTAGTCGCCGTCGCCGCCCCATCGCCGCCTTGTCGCCGCCCGTCGTCTGGGCTGGTGTGCCGCTCTGGCGGCTATGTTGTCGCAGTTGTCGATTTATGAGTTGAAACCTCTTGATCACCATCGCCGTGTTTCTATTTGTTATTCAGCCGGCAGCATGGGTCTCAGGGTCCTGCACGTCCGCTTGTGTAGGCAGGCACGTTGCTCAGCACGTGCGCGTGGTTTGTGGATGTCACATGTCACACTTCGTTGGCCTGTTGGGCTGTCGGGTTCAGGCGAGCCTTCCTTTTCAGACGCACGCTGTGGGAAGAGGGGCATGCGAGCTCGATTGGCGCTGGCCCGAATGGCTGACAAGTTTGCAAGGTGTTGGGGGAGTATGGGGCCACGCAGATGGCCTACGCCAGCCGTGTATCCGAAACGCCAGCACGCTTACAGGCAAGAGGTGGACACGATATGATCCTCTGTGCGAGCGATGTCATCTACACAGACTCCGCTTCGAGCCTCGAGCTGTTCTTTGCTTTCGAAGTCCATCCATCCGTTTCGCCTGCCATCCAAATCCAATTCTCGCGTGTACCTGACCGCGACCGCGCCAGAATGTCGTGATAGTATGACTGCCGCGCCTCAGCAGTCCTGGGGACTTCTGTCCGAATATTTGTATTTTCAAGGATGGTTGTAGTGAGCCTTTGCCTCGGGAGTTTTGCCATCACATCGCCCGCTCATCCTAGTCAGTACCGCTTTGCGCTGTCATCATGGCGCATGGCGGTGGACATCGCCCTCTCAATCGAGCATTTGCTTTGCCCCCTGCTCTGCGTGACATCTCCGCGCTACCATGCGATTCATGTTGTGTGGCAGCCAAGGAGGAGCAGCAACGTGAGGATCGGATCCGGTGCGGGGAGGAGTAACAGCCCAGTGGGCGTTGCAGATTTCGGGGCCCTCTTCGCCCGCGCTGTTGTCGTCGTCCTCGTTGCTGTCGTTGTCCTCCTCGTCGTCTTCCCTCAAATCGAGCACCGCGCTCCCCGGGCCTCCAGCTCTGCCTCTGGTGCGCGGCGTGGGTAGGGGACCTGGTGCTGACGGAGAAACCGCCTGCGGACACTCGAAAGTTGTGTTTTGAAACGCTTCCTACTCTCGACAGCCAAGTGGATGTCTGGATGGTGGAGGTTGGGGTAGCCCATGGCCCTGGGACGCCCCTCCCCCGAGTCGGGCTTCCTGGGGTACCTTATTTTGGACAGGAAGGAGGAGGAGGAGGAGGAGGAGGAGGAGGAGGAGGAGGAGGAGGAGGAGGAGGAGGAGGAGGAGGGGGCCGAGGAGGAACATGTTCTTTTGCGCGCCCACTTCCTCGATTTCGGAGCCGTTGCCCTGCAGCATAGGGGATGCTTGGAGCAGGAGGAGGACGAGAAGGGATGACGACGGGGATGAGGATGAGGATTAAGGATGATGATAATGGTGAGGATAATGCTGCTGCTGATGATGATGATGATACCAATGATGATGGTGATGATGGTGATGATGATGATGCTGGCGATGATGATGAGATCATGATCATGACCATGATGCGGCGGCCGCTGCTAATGATGATGATGATGATGATGACGACGATGACGATGACGACAGCGATGATGATGATGAACATGATGATGCTGATGATGCTGCTGATGATGATGATGGTGGTGGGGTGATGGTGGTGATGCTGATGATGAATATGAGGTTGAGGATTAGGATCACGATTATCATGCTGATAGGTGGTGGTAATGATGATGACGACGATGACGGCGACCAACGAGACGTCATAGACGACGACAACGACGACGACGGCGGCGTTGATGATGATTATGATTATGGTGATGATGGTGATGAGGATCAGGTGGAGAAAGATGAGGACGACGATGATGCTGATGGCAATTTGAATGTTGGTGATAATGTTTATGATGATGATGATGATGATGATGATGATGATGATGATGATGCTGATGATGATGATGATGATGATGCTGATGCTAGTGATGATGATGATGATGATGATGATGATGATGATGATAACGATGCTGAGGCTGATGAGGATGCTGTTGATGACGATGATGTTTATGATGATGATTCTGCTGATGATGCTGATTATGCTGATTCTGATGATGCTGCTGCTGCTGATGATGATGGTGATGGTGATGGCGATGGTGATGGTGATGGTGATGGTCATGGATGTCGGTCACCCCGCGCCAGGTTGGCGCTCCTGGCGCACTCGGCGTACCCAGCGCGCCTGGCGCGTCTGGCGCGCCTGGCTCTCCTGGCGCGTTTGGCGCACCTTGCACCTGGTATGCCCGACGCACTCGGCGCATTTGTCGCGCTTGGCGCCCTTGGCGCACGTGAAGCTCTTCGCGTTCCTGGCACGTTTGGGGCACACCTGGCGCACTTTGCGCAGAGTTCGCATTTAGAGCGCCAGAGGCATCTGGCACACACCTGGCGCACCTGGCTCAGCCGGGCAGCTGCCGCACTGAAAGGCTTGGAGCACCTGGCACACCTGGGGCATCGGACGTACTTGCCGCACTTCACACGCTCGGCGCGCCTGGCGCACGTGGCGCGTCCAGCGCGCCTGGCGTGCGCGTGCGCGTGCGAATTGGACCCAGAAGCACGCGGGCCCGACAAGATGTCCAGACATCCAGCCGGGCCTGACGACACCAGACGCAGTGCGCACGGCACGACATTCCTTGGCCACACAGTTGCGCCAGGAGATGGTTTGTGGTATCCTCTGGCGTGTCATGGCAACGATCCTACGTTTTGGGGAGGGGCTCGCTGGTGCGCAGGCGCCTTGCTGGTGCTCGCAGACTCTGCACAGGTGCCCCACCCAGCTCAAGTGTTGCATACCGTTACCCGCCCCCCCCGGGTGATCAAAAGCAATATCCAGGACGCAGACGTCGACATGCTGCGTGCGTGCCGCCAAACATTCTGCGCTTTCTCATCTGCCATCAGTATCGTGGCGCGCAACACTCGCCGCGTCCAGCTGCTGCTCGTACGTCCGTGGCACGGGTGGGGGTAAGCGACGCCCACCCGTAAAGCTCCAGAAGCCTCAGCTCGCCTTTGGCAGGCGGCTGGAGATCTTCGAAGAGAAGATGTCCAGAAGCTTGAACATAGCCGTGAACCACCGAACATGGTTTCCCCCTTATCCTCCCTCTCCTCTGGCGACTGCGCCGACGACTCGACGACACTGGCGACGATGGCACTGACGACGGCGCCGACGATGAGGACGACGCTGACGGCGGCGCTGACGACGACCCTGCCGACCACGACGACGGCGACGACGGCGACGACGATGCATGACGACGACGATGACGGCGGCGACGACGACGACGGCGACGACGAAGACGACGCTGACGACGACGACCCGCGCGGCGCGCGCACGCTGCTGCTCGAAGCAGCCCCCGTTGGCGGGCCCCCTTCTCGCCGCCCGGCCGCGGCGGCGATGGGGAACACGTGCAGGCCGGTCGCCTTGGGTCGAGGGTCTTTCGGGGTCGTTAGGGGGAGGAGGAGGAGGAGGAGGAGGAGGAGGAGGAGGAGGAGGAGGAGGAGGAGGAGGACGAAGCAGAAGAAGAATAATCATAAGAAGAATAAGGATAATAATAAGAAGAAAAACAATACTATGAATAATAATAATAATAACAAGAAGAAGAGGACGAGGAGGAGGAAGAGAATCGTATTCTCCTTGAGTAGTTGTGGGAGGGAACAGTGCGGTACCAGGAGGAGGCGGGCGAGGAGATTTTTGCAGGGCTGATTGTGAGCAGGGAGCACGGGGAGGAGTCTGGGCTGGGGCGCCGTGGATGTGTTGTGTTTGTCTCAGTCTAGGCCTCCTACATGGGGTCCGACTAGATGGGGTCCGAGGATCCCGCCGCATCGCCGATGCATCGGCGATGCGGATCGATGTGGGATCTGATTTTCTCCATGTCGACGGCGCTGATGCATCCCCGACGTCGCCAATGCATCGTCAATGCATCGGCGATGCATCAGCGATGCGGCGCGATCCTCCGTCCCCATCTATTCCGACCCCGTCTGGGAGGCCTCTAGGGAGGGGTGTCCTCTAAAACGAATTCCTCATTACGGGTGGTGTTGGCCCTGGGCACACGCTCCATGTGGCGCACCGCGGGAAAGGTCAAGAAAGGAGGATGAGAATGAGGCAGAAGGAGGATCAGCGGCAGCAGCAGCGGCAGCAGCGGGAGGAGGAGGAGGAGGAAGAGCCAGAGGACCAGGGGAGGACGGACGAGTGCACGGGAGTGGGGACGGCCACGGCGAGAAAGGAACCCGATCCAGACATGCGATGTGTTGAGAGCGCCACTCCGACCGATAGAAGCAAAGCGCCGATCCTGAAGTGTGGCCAACGGTACAGCGGGAACATCATGCTTCCCACATCCTGAGCTGGGTTATTGTTTTCTCTTCATGCCCCCCGCGCAGAAACAGTCGTCCTCAGCCCCCTCCCCTCTTTCAGACTCATCATTTCCAACACATCCTCCTCCTCCTCCACATCATCCTCATCATCATCATCATCATCATCATCATTATCATCATCATCACTATCATCATCATCCTCATCATCATCATCATCATCATCACCATCATCATCATCACCATCATCGTCGTCGTCATCATCATCATCCCTACCATCATCACACTCCCGCTCACTCACTCACACACTCACATTTTAACACTGTCTGTTTGAGGACCTCTCGAGCGGGAGCCTCGTCTGCGAATGAATCGCCAAGAGATCTCGAACGGGAGCTCCCTCCGAACGTGGCCCGCAGATCATGCAACCAATCTGCACAGGTCATCCGATGCCTGCAACCATGGTCGTCACATTTGGGCGCTTGTGGCCTGAATCTGGAGGAAGTCTTGAGCGGGAGCTTTGTCTTAAGTGAATTGCGAGGACGTCTCGAGCGGAAGCCCCCTCCTGACAGGGCGCACACTTTGTGTTGCCAACCCGTGCGGGCCATTTGGTCTCCGTAACCGACGTCATGTTGGGGCTCTTGGGGCCTGAGTTTGGAGGACGTCTCAAGCAGGAGCCCTCTCCTTATGGGGCTTTCCGATTATGTATTCAATTCGCGCGGACCATCCGATTCCTGTAACCACTGTCGTCATTTTCGGGATACTGGAGCTTGAATCGGGTGGAAGTCTCGAGCGGGAGCCTCGTCTGTGAGTGAGTCGCGAGGAAATCTTGAGCGGGAATTCTTTCCATATGGGGCCCCATGTTACCAATCCGCGCGGGCCATCGGATCCTTGTAAGTGTCGTCACGTTTGGGTTGCTGGGGCCTGAATCTGGAGGAAGTCTCGAGCGGGAGCCTCGTCTGCACGAGGACGTCTCGAACGGGAGCTCTTTCCACATGGGGCCCGTCGATCATCTTATTAATCCGTGCGGGCCATCTGATCCTTGTGACTGGCGTCACGTTTGGGATCATCATAGGGTCTGAATATGGAGGAATTCTCGAGCGGGAGTCTCATCTGTGAGCGAATCCCGAGGAAGCCTCGATCGGGAGCCCCCTCACTCTTGGGCCCGAACTTCATGTTACTTGTCCGCGTGTGCCATATGATCCTTGTAATTGTCGTCACGGTTGGGCTCTTGGGGCCTGAATTTGGCGGAAGTCTCGAGCGGGATCCTCGTCTGTGAGTGAATCGCGAGGAAATCTGGAGCGGGAACCACCTGGGGCCCCGATGGGGAGGAGGAGGAGGAGGAGGAGGAGGAGGAGGAGGAGGAGGAGGAGGAGGAGGAGGAGGAGGAGGAGGAGGAGGAGGAGAAGAAGAATAGAGGAGAATGAGGCAGATGAGGATGAGGATGGAGGAGAAGGACGAGGAAGATGGAAGAGCGCCCCAGGATGCCCAAGAAAGCTCCAGAAGGCTTCAGGACGCCCCAGGGGGCACGGGGAGGAGTTGGCAGAAGGCGGAGGAGGCAGGATGAGAAGCAGGAGCCAAGAGGATTTGACAAGGTGAGGAGGCGGAGCAGGCAGGAGGAGGCATCAGGAGTAAGGAGGAGGGTGCAGGAGAAGATTCGCAGGCAAGCTAGACAGATTCTTGTGCGGGGCCCGACCGTCGGAGTAATTGAAGGATCCCAGACGTTCTGATTGAAACCCTTATGTTGACCCGCTTCGGAATCCTGTGTGTGCGCGTGCGTGCGTGTGTGTGTGTGTGTGTGTGTGTGTGTGTTTGTGCGTGTGTGTGTGTGTGTGTGTGTGTGTGAGTGTGTGTGCGTGCGTGCGTGCGTGCGTGCGTGCGTGCGTGCGTGTGTGTGTGTGTGTGTGTGTGTGTGTTTGTGTGTTTGTGCGTGTGTGGAAACTTCTACGCGAGAGGGACGGTAGCACTTGATTACACGATTTCGGGATAGGAGAGTCGTATTCTCAAGGAGTACTTGTGGCAGGGAGGGAGGTGGTACCGAAGCCATACGAGCAGGGGTGAGTTTGCGGAGGTGGAGGATGAGGTAGAGTATGAGTGGGAAGGACGAGGGAGCAGGAGGATGAGGAGGATGACCTCACTTGTGCCTACTCCATCAGGGCATCCTTTCTAAGCAAGTTCCCTTGTGAGCCTTTCTTTTTTCACTTTGCTTCGTCTCTCTTCTCACCTTCTGGCATTATGTCTCACCATATCAAGTTAGTTCCATTTGATAGAATTCAGGATTTGTTCTCGTTTGCCCGTAAGAGTGTCGTTGCAAGACTTTGCGAGCTCCGCTCTAAGTTTGCATGCCGTACAAAATAGGGAGGAGGATCGGATGGGATTAGAATCCCTTCCACAGCGTGCCGGAAGCTCTCAAGGCGTTCCCGAACGGTCTGAGACGGCCGCGGCGCCCGAGACAGCTTACAGAGCCGCCAGATCTCAAATATGCTCGATCTATCCTCACCCGATGTTATCCTCGCCCTGGCATCGTCTTAGCAGATGGGCGGGGTGTCGTTGCCGCGGCCCTGGCCGCACCCGCAGGCAGCCTCCCCACGCCGCCGGCGAGGCCGCGGAGGTGAGCGTGCCGAAGGCCGAGGGCCTCCGTGCACGCGTGCGGGCCAGCTGTGCTCGGAACTGGGGCAGGGCAGAACCGGCGGCGAGCGAGGGGGGGAGACGAGAAGGAGAGGGCCTGCTCTCAAGGCGGCGAGACTGCTCAGAAGCCCCCGCGCCTTCTTCGAAGTTGTCCCTGTCTTGGGGGACGGCTTCGAACATTTCTCAGAAGGATGGGGGACTTCCGAGCCTTCTGAGAAGACCCGCCCCTCCTCACTTGGCCCCGGGCTCGGGGAACCGTGAGACTCGTGTTCGACGGAACTCGAGTTTGCTGGCACTTTTTGACGGGCCCGTCCTGGATTTTGACGGTCCTGTGTTCGTGGGATGTTTGCAGCGGAGGCTCGCGTCAAGTTTCAGACTGGGTCTCAGAGCCCCGAATCATCAAGGCTGAAGGCGGCCAGAGGTAACGACATGTTCGCGCCTCGGGGGCCCAAACCAGAGTTATCCCGTACCGCAGCTCTCCCAGATGATTGGGGCGTCCAAGGGTCTCGTCATCTTCTTGATGGCCTCGCCAGGCCAACCTGAGACCCTCGATCCCGAGTCTTAGGTCTCCCCCCGAGGAGGGAGTGGAAGGGAGGAAGGAAGGGGGGGGGGCCAGGGGCAACGCTGTGGGAGAGAGAGGCTCAGGAAGGAACGCATCGGCCCCCCGTCGTCCACCCTGTCGGGCGCGTTTTGGCGATCGCTGGTTTTCGGGCGCTTTCGTCGGCTCTCGACAGTTTTCCCGTCCAGGGATGCGTTTCAGCGGCTGCGCCTCGCCGAGAGGCGTCAGGGGGTGCCTGGATCGCCCCGACACGCCGCCCGAGAGCAGAGTTACTGCCCGAATGCCTGGGTCAGCGTTATGAGGGGATTCTGCTCAGGGGAGAATGCATTGACCCCCAATCGCCCACAGATCGCCGCGAGGGCTTCAACGCCCATTCGAGCTCGATGTTCCCCCCTTCCTTGGCCCGCCCCCCGCCCCTATCGTTGACCCTGCAGGGGGGCTGGCGCGTTCCACGATTCTTTTGGGAATGGGGGCGAAGGGCACTGGGGTCCCCCTCCCCCCACGGCCATGGCTGGACGCGGCGCGAGCAGCTGGCCAGGATGGGCCTTGGGACGGGCCGCCCGGGGGCCGGTTCCAAGCGGACTCTTCGGCCAGGAGGCGGCCCCCCGGCCTTCAGGGGGGCGCCCCGGGCCTGTCGGGCCCGCTGTGCGGCGCGCGGCCTTTCTGGGGCCCGAGGCTGCTCCGCCGTCGCTGGTGCGCGCTCGCTGGCGTGGCCACCACCGAGTGCCCACACCGCCGCTCCGTCGCAGGGATGCCCCAGAGGCACGCAGGGCAGAGCCGCGTCCGAGAGGCTCCCTCGTCCCCCCCCCTCCCTCCTCGAGGGCGCGGAGTTTTCGCGTGCTTCGAGGTCCGGCTCCGATTCCCGCTCATCCTCCTCTTCTGCGGATCGAGAGCGCGAAGTGCTTCGCGCAGCGCGAAGCGCGAAGTTAGGCGCCCGTGCTTCTCCTTGTCCTCGTCGCCCGCCTCCCTCTACATCCCCTCAGGCTCCGCTCAAGATGGCAATGCCCTTCCCCATCTGGCGAATGTCTGGGACACATCCGCCCTGTTCGCACCTGACGGCGATGCCTGCTTCTGGCCCTCGTCTTCGGCAGCTTGCATTCCCTCGCTCGTGAGCTGCCTGCTCGTCGAGCCGTGTTTTCTGTGCTCTTCCAGCCTGTCCGCCCCCGTTCCTTGTCTCTCGCTCGGCGTGCTCGGACGTTCTGGCCTGTCCCTTCCCGCCCCTGTGTTTCCATGTCTCCTCCTCGCCGCCTCGTCCACCTCTCTGGTTGCAGGGCAACTCCATACTTCCTCGTCCTCCCCCTCCTTCCTCATCTTCCTCCGTCGTCGCCCCCGCTTCCTTCCGACGCCTTCGTTTGATCTGCGGGCGAGAGTCTCCTCGGCAAGCCCTGCCCCTGATATTGTATCTTCCCGCCCCGTCTAGCCACCGCAGGTAAACGTCGAACGGCTCGAGCGGCAGATAAGAGAGCTCACTGAGAACCTGAAGACGCTGCAGGGCGCGCACCAGAAATATGTCCAGGAAAATGAGACACTGGAGCAGATCAAGGAGTCGCTGCCGTGACTGGAAAAGACACTGGCAGAGGCCAGCGAGGCAATCTCTATCATACTTCGGGGAAGTAAAGCAGGCACAGCAGGGAATGGTAAGGTAATGTAGCTTCTTCTCCAGGGGGGGGACGACGACCGCCACACCTCAGGACATTTTTGCTCTGGGACGTCGTGTCCCAGGACGGTGACACGAGAGGACCTGGAGCGTAAGAGGACAACACCGAGGAGAAGGGGAGGAGGAGAAGGAGGACAATCACGAGGAGGAGCAGCACATGACAGTCAAGACGCTGATAGAATTGGACTGACTACTCTGGGCTCAGGGCCGGCTCTGGTGTCCGGGCCGGTCCTCCGGCTCCAGGCCCGGGAGCCTCTTCGTGGCCGGGGCTCGCCGTGCCCGGGAGGGTTTCTGTGTGCTGATTCGGACAGGGCCGTGGCTGCCCTGCAGGGAGAGCTGGCCCCGAGGGCAGCCGCCGGGCCCTGGCCACGAAGCAGCACGGCGTGGCCACGGCGGCCACCGCCCCGCACGCCCCAGAGAGCAGCTCGGCTGCCGTGCTGGCGCCGGCGGCGCGGCAGAGGGCGAAGCACCCTTTTTTAGGGCCTCCTGGGCGGCCCTCTTCGCCACCGCTGCAATCGCCTGGGAATCCTGGTCAGAACGCACCCCGGGAGAGGTCCCCGGTGAGCAGTGGTATCGGTGCCTGTTGGTTTCCCCACAGCCTTCTCTCTTTTTGGGGGGGATTTTGGGGGACAGGCGATGCCATGAACAGATCAACTCGGAGGTCCACGCGGAGTTCCAGGATCGGCGTCAGTGCCCCCTGGCGGCGCCTCCGGCGCCTCCGCGCGCGCGCGCCAGGGAGGGGGGGGGTCCAATGCCGATCCGAGAAGCCCGCGCGGACCTCCGAGTTGTTATGCTTATGTCATTGTTTGTTTCCCTATGGATGCAGTTTCCGATGTCGGACCTGGAACCGATGATCGATCCTCTCCGAATCGGACTTCTCTCAAACGCCAGGTGCAGTTTAGTAGCGCGAGTGTCCTCTGCGGACTCAAGCTGGATCCCGAAACAGTCTTCGGAACGGCAGACAAATATTCTGGCGAGGAGAACTAACAAAACATGATTTGGCAACTGCGTGAAGGCTGGCATACGCAGAACGGCTTCCAAGAAATTTACAGCCTGGCGCCCGTGTCTCAGTAGACTGTCTCGAGCTGATCTTCGGAGGTCCAGGAGACGTTGACACCAATGCCAACATCGACGGTGTGCCTCCACCGAGGGAAGATGTTCCGATCTCGGTGATGTGGTAATGTTCGGGCTTCGTAGGCGGCCGAATGCATACCACACCGAGGTCTAGGATCATCTTCCCCTGGTGGAGGCACCTCCCCCCGCGTTGGTGTCGGTGCCCAGCTCCAGGCTTCAACAGCACAGCGTCCGAGGAATGCAACAGCCTGGTGCCCGTGTCGCGGTGGACGACGAGGGCAGGAGGATGGGGAGGAGGGGAGGAGGGAGGAGGGGAGCAGGGGGGCAGGGGAGGAGGCAGAGGGACGGCCGAGGAGAGGAGGGAGAAGGCAACGGGGGAGGGAGGGAGTTATGACCCCAAAGCCGTCCTCGTAGCCGCCGCCGTCGCTTCCGTCGTCGTCGTCGTCGTCGTCGTCATCGTCGTCATCGTCGTCGTCGTCGTCGTCGTCGTCGTCGGCGGCGCTCCGCACGGGCCTCGGGCTGCCGGCGCCGTCGTCCTCCGCCGCCCCCGCCGAGCCACGCCCCGACCCCCGCCGCGGAGGAGAGGGTCCTCTCGGAGCTCTGCGAGCAGGGCGGGGAGGAGCCGCCCTCAGCCCCCCCCCCCCCCCGGGGGAAGAGGGAGCAGGAGGAGGGGGAAGAAGCGCCGAGGGAGGAAGGAGGAGCGAGAACGGCGAGGGAGGAGGAGAAGGAGGAGGCGGGGGAGGAGGAGGAGGAGGTGGAGGAGGCGGCGGCGGCGGTGGCGGCGCAGGAGTAGGAGGAGGAGGAGGGGGAGTAGGAGGAGGAGAGGGCGGAGGAGGAGGAGGAGGAGGAGGAGGAGGAAAAGGAGGAGAAGGAAGATGAGGAGGAGGAGGAGGAGGAGGAGGAGGAGGGGAGGCGGAGGCGGAGGAGGAGGAGGTGGAGGAGGAGGAGGAGGAGGAGGAGGAGGAGAGGTGGAGGTGGAGGTGGAGGTGGTTGAGAGGACTAGGAGGAGGAGGAGGAGGTGGAGGAGGAGGAGGAGGAGGGAGGAAGGGGAGGAGAGGATGCGGAACGGCACGAGGAGGAAGGAACAACCATGTTGAGGAGGGGGAGGAGGATGCGGTGGAGAAGATAGGTGGGGGAGGAGGAACGAGGATGATTAAGGAATGGAACAATAAGGAAGGAGGAGAGATGAGAAGGGTCAGAAGGAGGAGGAGGAGTAGGAGGAGTGGGAAGGGGAGGGTGAGGGGGAGACGGGGAGGAAGAGGAGGAGGAGGAAGAGGAGGAGGAGGGGGAGGAGGAACGCGGATGACTGAGGAATGAAACGAGAAGGAAGGAGGAGGAGGATCGGGGGTCTTGTCGATGATGTTGATGGTGTTGATGGGAATTGTGATGTGTTTGGTAATGATGATGTTGATGTTGGTGCTGATGCAGATGATGCTGCTGATGATGCTGCTGATGATGTTGATGCTGAGGATGGTGATGATGATGTTGATGCCGATGATGCTGGTGATGATGGCAATCCTGATGACGATGATGACGAGTGTGCTGATGCTGATGATGCTGATGGTGACGATGACGGTGATGATGATGCTGTTGATGAGGTTGATGATGTTGACAATGATGCGGACGATGATGACACTGGTGATGATGGTGATGGTGATGGTGATGGTGATGGTGACTATGAATGATGCTGATGCTGGTGATGGTGAGGATGCTGTCAGTGATGGTGATTACGTTTTATGATGCTGGTGATGATGCGGATGATGACGTGGAAATATGCTTACGATGACGATGCTAATGCTGATGGTGGTAATGACAGTGATGATGCTGATGGAGGTGATGCTGATACTGATGATGATGCTGATGATGATATTGGTGCTGCTGCTGATGCTGATGCTGATGCTGTTGTCGGCGATCGTGGTAATGATGCTGCTACTGATGATGACGATGAATGTGTTGTTGATGGTGATGATGATGCTAAGGATGATGATGATGATGATGATGATGAGGATGAGGATGAGGATGAGGATGAGGATGATGATGATGATGATGATGATGATGATGATGATGATGATGATGATGATGATGATGATGGTAACGCTGATGATGATGTTGATGATGGTGATGCATATTGTCATGTTCATGATGCTGATGATACTGATGCTGATGCTGATGTTGAGTGTATGTATGATGATGATGCTGACGCTGACGATGATGCCTGTGCTGAGTGCGACGACGCTGCTGTTGCTGAAGATGATGAGGATGGGGATGGTGATGATGATGGTGATACTGTTTTGCTGCTGCTGGATGAGGAGGAGGAAGAGGAGAATCTGCCCTCCGCCCCATGAGGGAGGAGCGATGGGCCAATTGTATGTGCAGACTCCCTGCGCCCCAGGAAGGGGGCGCTCTAGGATGTAGTTGTAGTGCGGGAGCCGCTGGCTGTCCCCGATGCTCTTGGCGCAGGAGGGGCGGAGGAAGCGCAGACATCGCCCCCACGGTTCTTGCTCGGCGTCTGGGGACCCACTTCGGGGAGGAGCCGCCCTCCGCCTCAGGAGGGAGGAGGGAGGAGCGACAAGCACTGCGCTGGAGGTTCCTGTTCAGTCTGGGCGCGGCCAGGAAGCTGCTAGTTTAGGCGAACCTGCGGGGACAGCGAGGCTTCTCTCGTGCCCCTCTTCCTCCTGCTCGTCGCAGGCGGTGCTCGCGACCTACTTGCAACCTCAGCAGGTCCAGTCCAAAGCCGAAGTAGGCTACGCACCCACTGCTCTTTCACGCGCCCGATGTTGTCTGATTCCGTAGATTGTGCAGGGTGGTGTTGGGGTGTACCTTCGTTAGCCCCGCCCGCCGTGAAAAGTGGTAACGGAGTGTACCTACGGGATGAGGTTCGGCCAGTTGCGTTGCCTCCTCCGCCACCTCCTCTTCCTCCTCCGCCCCCCGTGCGTCCTTTGTATGTCCAGGTCGAAAGCGCCCACGGCGAATCCCCCTCAGCCACCTGCCGTTGTGCAAAGCGCCTCTGTGGCCGAACGTTTTGGTCGGAATCTTGAGCAACATATCGGACCAGATGTTCCCCGAACCGATCGGGAAGCCTTCTGGGGAACGCGTGGGCGAGACATACAAAGAACACGAGGAATAAGGGATCGAATTATGATAAGAGTAATCATGCCATGCCTATCAGGGCATTGGGCCTATCAGGCCGTTCTGGGCTATTTTGGCGCCGTCCTGGATCATCTTGGGGTCGCCATGGGCCGTCGTCCATGCGTTTTCGGCAAAAGTCATCCGGGAAAAAATTCGAACGCTTCGCCGAGCTTGCTTGCAGAGGCGAACGAAGCGGGAATTGGCGCGGCTGTTGGCGGACATGTGTTTTGTCGAGGCGTGGTGCGCAGCGGGCATTCTGATTTATATCCTGAGGACCCTCGCTGCGCAAGCATAAAAGGGGCACCAGTGCGCGCTCGAAATCCTGCGCCGTGCTTTGCACATTCCTGGCCTGACGCAGTATGTTGCCATGTTCCAGAGCGCGAAATTCTACCGGTCGCGTATCATTCGCGCGGGCGACTGACATGCGAGACAGCGTCATGGATACCCTGGATCCCCTTGCGCAGCGAGAGCAAGTCTGCCAAGGCGCACGCGCGCTGCTCAGCAGAGCCGCGCCAAATTTGCGAGCTTTGCGCGACGCGCGGCCCGGATCTTCCATGGGGCCGCCCTTGTCGTTCACCGACCAGGCAGGGGCCATGCGAAATGTCTGCGCAAGAAATCCAATACGTGGAGGCATATTGCGGATGAAGGGTGACGGTTCGAATGCCGCGGAAAAGGGCGCATTGCGCGTGAGAAGACAATTGGCTCACCTCGTCGCCGCCCTCATGTCGCACTCACAGGAAGATGCTGAGGAGATGGTTCGTGTGCTCGAGGGCCAAGTTTACCTTTCCATGGCGCCTCAGCCCCCGAGACTTCCATGGCGCGGCCACTTCGAGCGCTAGCCGATGCCGCAGCGCAGCAGCTTCGCAAGAGAGGAGGGAACCGCTCGTCCATCCGAGCAGACGAGGAGAGAGAGACGGCGGCCAAGGTCGCGGGGGACCTGGCGTCGAGACAGTGGCACAATGCTGCCGAGGCTTCCAGTGAGGGGGTGCCTGCCGCTGGGGGGGATATTGCAGGGGTCCTGCCGAGGGCGCCTCGGAGGACAATGGCGCGCGGCCGAGCGGACCGCTCGTCGCCCTCGGAGTCCGGCGATGGCGGCCCTATAGCGGCACCTCCAGCCCAAGAATTGTGCAGGATCTGGCGACGGCGACAGGTCGGGCCTCGCGGGCGGGGCCGGCCGCCGGGCCCACAGACAGCAGGAGTGAGATGTTCGGGCGGTGATCCCGTGCCGTTGCTTCAGGATGTAGAGGGCGAGGAGAAGGAGGGGCGATGAGGAAGAAGAGGAGGGCAAGCAGGAGATGCACGGGAGGAGAGGGCAGAAAGAGCGTGAACAAGTGTGGTGTATGGTAGGATATTGAAGATGGTACTCTCGTCACACCGCGGGCCACGATGCGCGTCACCACGGGGGGGCCCGGATGGGTTCAGAAAATGGGAAGGGCGGGATTTACCAGGAGGAGGAGGGGGAGGAGGAGTCAGAGGAGGAGGACGAGGAGGAGGAGGACGAGGAGGAGGAGGAGGAGGAGGAGGAGGAGCAGGAGGAACAGTAGGAGGAGGAGGAGCAGGAGGAGCAGTAGGAGGATTGATCGGCCGAACGGTCGGCTCGATAAGAGTTTCCGACGGTCGGGGGCGGCAGCGGCTGCGCTGTCGCGCGCACGCGGGTCGCCGCAGGAGCCGGAGGAGAGCGGCGGGGACGAGGAGGCGCCGGGCCGCGCCGCGCCCGGCCTGGAGCCTCGAGGCCTTCGAGGCTTGCGTTCTCGACGCCTGGATCCCAGATCCTCTCGCCTCGATCTTCCAGCCTCGATAGCCCTGGCGGCGCCATGTCGCGCCCCCCGTGAGTGGCTTCACGAAGGTCCCCAGAATGAGCATGTGACCCCCCGCTGCGCCCCAGAGTGAGCATCTGACCCCCGGGCCTCGAGGAGTGGTGCGCCCTCCCCCCCCCCCCCTCCTCTCCTGATCCCGCGCTCTCCCCCGCTCGCCAGGACCGGGAGGGGGTGAGTAGAAAGGAAAGAGGTTGGCAGTTGGGCTGGTGGGAGGTGGGAGGAGGAGGGAGGAGGAGAGAGGGAGGAAGATGAATGAGGAGGAGGGGGAGGAGGAGGAGGAGGAGGAGGGGAGGAGGAGGAGGAGGAGGAGAGGAGGAGGAGGAGGAGGAGGAGGAGGAGGAGGAGGAGGAGGAGGAGGAGGAGGAGGAGGAGGAGGGAGGAGGGAGGAGGAGGAGGAGGAGGAGGAGGAGGAGGAGGAGGAGGAGGAGGAGGAGGAGGAGGAGGAGGAGGAGGAGGAGGAGGAGGAGGAGGAGGAGGAGGAGGAGGAGGAGGAGGAGGGAGGAGGAGGAGGAGGAGGAGGAGGAGGGAGGAGGAGGAGGAGGAGGAGGAGGAGGAGGAGGAGGAGGAGGAGGAGGAGGAGGAGAGGAGGAGGAGGAGGAGGAGGAGGAGGAGGAGAGGAGGAGGAGGAGGAGGAGGAGGAGGAGGAGGAGGAGGAGGAGGAGGAGGAGGAGGAGGAGGAGGAGGAGGAGGAGGAGGAGGAGGAGAAGGAGGAGGAGGAGGAGGAGGAGGACGAGGACGAGGACGAGGAGGCGGATGAGAAGGAGGAGGAGGTGAGGAGGAGGAGGCGGATGAGAAGGAGGAGGAGGAGGAGGTGAGGAGGAGGAGGGTATGAAGGAGAACATGGAGGAGGACACGGAGGACGATGAGGGCAGTTTGGCAATTGGGCCAGGGGCAGGTGGAGGGAGGAGGAGGGGGATGAAGAGGGAGGGATGGAGGGAGGAAGGGAGGGAGGGAAGGAGGCAGGGAGGGAGGGGAGGAGGAGGAGGAGGAGGAGGAGGAGGAGGAGGAGGAGGAGAATAGAAGGGAGGACAAGGGAGTAATTAGGGCACGGAGAGGATTACCACGCGCGCTATCGGCTGAACGGGTAGATGAACCCATCTTGCGAGGAGGATGGATAAGGGACGGGTTAGAGGTGAGGGGTGAGCTCTGATGAGAAAGAGGAAAAAAAAGATGGGGGAGGAGGGAAAGGTATGAACTAAATATTTGTTGACGCTTCGCGTATCCCCTCCAGCCCATCCAGAAACGATGCCCAGGGGAGTTGAGGTGATCAGGGAAGTTGGGGAGCAGGCAGAACAACAAAGGGCGGGGGAAGCTGTCATATACCCCAAGAGGGGGAAGATGGAGGAGGAATCGTCGTCGTCGTCGTCGTCGTGGTCGGTGGAGGAGGCGGTGGAGGAGGCGGAGGAGGAGGTGGAGTAGGGCGCGGACGAGGAGGACGAGAAGGAGAAACGGAGGGGAAGGAGGATGCGTTGGATACCTCGGGGATCCTCTTGAGGCCTCGAATGGGGTCTCTTGGTAGCCTCTTGCAGGCCATTTGGGGCCGTCCGGGCGCCTCTTGGCCCTCTTGGGGCGCTCTTGGAAGCTTCAGGGGCGTTCTTAGGGCCATCTTGGAGGACATCGATCAACAACGAGGGGAGCTCCAAATACTCTCCCCCCTCGGGAGCACCGACCATCGCTTCCTGGACCCCTCTTGGAGCGCTCTTGGGGCGCTCTTGGGTGCTCAGGGGGCCGTCTTGGGGCTCTCTTGGGGCTCTCCTGCGGCTTTATTGGGCCATCTTGGAGCCATCTTGAGGCTTGGATGGCCATCGGAAGCGAAAAGGCGAGACAGCAACAATCAGTAATTCCCCTCAGGTTGTTGAAGGATTTGGGGTACTTGGGGGTCTCCTCGGAGGTCTCGGGCGCCTCTTGGCGCCGTCTTGGAACGTTCTTGGGGCCTCTTGGAGCATCTTGGGACACATCTTGAGGCATCGTGCGCTATCTTGGGCCATCGTGGAGCTCATCTTGGACTCTCGGGGGCCCTCTTGGAGCCGTCTTGGGCCATCTTGGGCGCTCCACCGCCTCGCGCCTCCGTAGCCATTTTGGCTCAAGATGCTTTGTTCCGCAGGGGAACACGTGGATACCGCTAGTCCGCGGCCAGTGCCAGGGCTTCCTAGCCCGACAGTTTTGTTCAACGCTCCCCGTGCCTCCTGCTGCCCGCAGGTGAGCACTCTCGGTTCTTCAGCTCGTCCATGGCACCTCAGCAGCAGCGCAATGGTTACTTCAAGTGCTACTCCTGCTCGTACGCCTGGAACTGGAAGAGCAAGCAGGCGTGCCACTGGTGTGGCAAAGCCTTGGCGCCGTGGACTGACGTTCCTCCTCCAGTGCAAGGTGCTTGGGCGGCCCGCGTCTCTGCCGCTGTCCAGGCCGAGGCCAAGAACACCCAGCCGACCAACGCCGAGGGAGGTTGGGAGCCGTGGTCATCCTGGCCCAAGTCCCGCCGCCGCCGTGGTAAGGGCAACGGCAAGGACCAAGACGAAGACTGGTGGGCCAGCAAGAACGACACCCCCAAGGCCCGCTCCGCCGAAGACATCCTGGCGGAGCTCCAGGCAGTCGCTCCTCACATCGACAAGGCGGCCATCGACGGCATCAAGTCGCAGATCCCGCCGCCCCAGCCGCAGAAGCCTGCCGACCTCAACGAGATCTACAGCCGCGCCCAGGCTACGGAGCGCCGCTGCAAGAACAACCTCGAGAGGCTGCTGGAGAGCGAGCAGAAGGCGCTCAACTGGTACACTGAGCGCAAGCAGGCGTCGGATGAGCCGCCGACAAGTTGGCTGAAGCACAAGCGGAGGCCCAGGCGGCGCTCGACGCCCTCCAAGCCGCCCGCAAAGGCGGCACAGCCACTCCCATGCAGACGCAGCAGACCCCGACCTTCAACCTCACCAGCCTCCTGGAGGACGGCGACATCTCCATCGAAGCGGGCGCGGCGTTCGACCTCCAAGGCCTCGACGTCGACGACAGCGACCGCCAGGCCTGGGATTCCCTGCAACAGCGCTTCGCCACGGAGCTCAAGGCCAAGGTCACCGAGCTCTTCGGCAACACCGCCAGCCACATCAGCCAGCTCCGAGCAGAGGCCAGCACCATGCGCACGCGTTCCGCCTCCAAGCGGCAGCGCGCCGACGAGGACGGGCACGCCAGAGCGGGCGGCGGTGCACCGCCTGCCGCCGCGGCCGCAGCAGGCGAACCCCAAGCGGCAGCCGCAGCTGACGCTGAAGGCGCGGCGCCCTCGCCGCCGACGGCGCCAAGCGACGGGCCTCCTGCGCCTGCTGCTGGCGCTGCTACTGACGGCGGCTATGTCGCACAGCCTGTGCCTGCGCTCAACAAGGACCCCGACCTCGAAGACAAGACAAGGCTCAGGAGATGCTCAGCCAGATGCGCAAGCCCACCGCGGCCGCCGCCGCTGGGCCGCAGCAGCCTCTTTAGCCGACTACAACGCATCCCTGGACGGAATGGTGAGACGGGACGCCTACCGTCAGAGACCACGCTTTACGACAACCCAGCGATCATCAACACAATGGACGCAGTCCTCGACCCGTTCGACGAGCTGGCCGAGTTGGACGCCCACTTCGATTACGCCGAGTCCGAGCAGTACGCTACCGCCCCGCCCGAGACGCTGCCCTCGGTAGGGGGCGATGAGACGGCCCAGACCGTCGACCACCCCGTGGTGTCTGGCCCAGGACAGCCACAGCGTGATGCTCGGTCTGACCCTGATGCCGCTCCGCCCGAGACGCGGTCCTCGGTAGGGAGCGATGAGACGGCGCAAGCTGTCGACGTTCATGTGGTACTGAGACCAGGGGGGCCTCCGCCAAAGGCAAACCCTGATGCCGCTCCGCCCAAGACGCAGTCCTTGGTAGGGGGTGATGAGATGGCGACAGCTGTCCACAGTCCTGTAGTGTTGGGGCCATCGAAGCCCAGCAGCAGTGTGAGAGCCTATCCTACACCTGCCAACCAGGAGAAAGGCCCTACGAAGTTCCCGCAGTCTGACCACTCCCTGTTTTTCTCCAACATCACACAATGGGGACCACAGTCTGAGAAATGGTTGGCAGGCCCAGGCGAGCAATATCAGATGGTAGCCCTAGTCGAAACACACATCTCGCCTGAAAAAGCGCCGCTCATCTACGACAAGATTGCAGCGGATGGTTGGAGAATATCATCGACTACGGCCACCCCTACCAGAAGATCGGACGGCGGCAACACGGGTGGCGAGATCATCCTATCCAGGTACCATGTCCAGGCCACCTCGTTCAACCATCTCCGAGATCTTGCCATTTCGCAGCGCAGGCCTGACCCCTTCCTCGGCTTCACGCCCATGGTTTGGCACAGACGCTCTGGCAATCTGGTTGTTATTGCTGCATATCTGGAACCCCACAGGCAGATCGAGGGTGCTGTGCACGACAAGCTGCTCTCGCTGGGAGCCTTCGTTGCCATGCTGACAGACCCTTGGATCATTTTGGCGGACTGGAATATGACACCCGAGCAGCTTGCAGCGACAGAGTGGCTGGCCAAATGGAATTGTACCATTGTGCGAGCACCTGGATCAGCCACCTGCGACAAGGGCCAAGGGCTCACGCTAGATTTCGCACTGGTCAAGACCGGCATCGAGCACACCATTTCCATACGCCAGTGCCCCACTGTACCGTGGGCCACCCACGTTGGCCTCGAAGTTCGAGCAGGCAGTGCAGATCCTTGGTGGTATCAGTCTATCGATACCCCCAAGGCCTTCCCCACGGCGGACAGGCCCAGGATACCACCAGACCCAACAGCAAGACCGCCATTAAGAAACGTAAAGCAGCTGAAGCTCGAGCAGCTCGTCTTCGCGATCTACCTCCTGAACTTCAACCAGCAGCAGCACAGCTTCAGCCACAGGTCGAGCCCGCAGCGCTGGATCCTATCTCCTACGCCATCCCGCTGGACTTGTGGCAAAAGCAATGGCAGGAGGCGTTGCCCACACCTTGCAAGCAGCCGCACGCGCACTTCGTGTACCGACACTGGGAGCACGACGCCGACCTCCTCAACCTCAAGTACGCCAAATGGGTCTCGGCACTCGAGAACACCATGATCAGCCACCACCAGATCGACCCGAAGGAAGCCGCAGCATACACTGGCCGTGCTCAGGGCTACCAGCTATCTTGGAAGAAGACAGCGGCTGCTCCAGGCCGCGTACACGTATATGATCCACATGCGGAATGGTGGGCCATTACGCTCACCCTCATCAAGCGCTACGCCGCGCTTTTCGACAAGCCTAAGCATACAGCGCTTATGGAGCAGCAGGCCATCATCATCCAGCAGCGCGCCGACCACTTCAACAGCCACATGCATGACCTCCAGTTCGAGAAGGATGAGGATGCCATCTTCCGCTGGTTCGCGCTCGCCTGGGCCCCGCACCTGGACAAGGATGACACCGACGACCTGGTCACTATTACCGCTACCTGGGCCTCCAGAGCCCTCTCGGCCGCCCTCGCCAAGTCCAAGAGGGCCTACGGGGCTTGGCTCGCCCAGCAATGGAAGCACCGTCCTGGAGTATTACACGCCCATGTTAAGCCTGCACCTGTACGTCACATCGAGGCCTACACGTCCAACCTGGCCATCGCCGACCCCGCCGTCATCATGGACAACAAGAAGCAACAATGGCAGCAAGTCTGGCATGCCACCGAGACCTCCGACGACATCCTCCAGGCCCTGACAAAGGCCAAGGCAGCAGCCGTTCTTCAACCTCTCGAGCCCATCACAACAGAGCAAGTACACCGCATCCACGGCCGCATGCCACCTAGTAAAGCGCATGGAGTTGATGCCCTAGGACCTCGCGACCTCCACCGATTGCCAGAACCTGCCGTCGAAGCCTATGCAGATATTCTCAATTCGGTGGAGCAAGCTGGCATCTGGCCACTACAAATTTCAGGCACCATTGCAGCTCTCGCCGCCAAGAAGGCGGGGGGCGACCGATTCCTTGGCATGTTTCCACATATGGCCCGACTCTGGTCTCGTATTAGATCTACCGCGTCGGAAGCCTGGACGCAAGGACTTGACGATTTTTGGACTACAGCCATCAAAGGCTCCTCAGCACTCCAAGCCACTCTACATAGGGCCTTGTTAGACGAGACAGCCTCAGCACTCGGCATTCAGTCCGCGACTTTGCTGTTAGACATCCAGAAATTCTACGACAACATCAAGCTCGCCAACCTGATCATGGTCGGCCTCAACAGTGGCTTCCCCCCCATCATTCTATTATTGGAGGTTTGCGCAGTCGTCAATGGGTGAGCATGCCTATTTTCGCCTCCAAGGGCATCATTGCAGGCTCCCCCCACGGCACTACCCTGGCACGACTTATTTTGTTACCTATTCTTCGACATGCTCAAGCTCAGGCAGAGCTTGCCCAGATGTGGACCTTCGTGGGCGACACTGTACTACGAGTCGAAGGTGTCCTACGGGCGTTGCAGACGCACCTCCCCCGTGCTGCCAGGACGCTCTGCGACGGCCTGAAGGAGTTCGAGTTGCCTATCTCAGACAAGACCGTCCTCATCGGCTCCACACCCAAGGTCCGCCACCTGCTTGCCAAGAAGATGCGACAGTACGACATTCCAGTTACTGCGACGTCCACGGCCGTTGACCTAGGCGTGGACGCCGCCGCGGCTACTCGACGAGTACAAGCCAAAGCCAGGAAGCGTCAGAAGTCGGCCACCGCCAGGTTTCGCAAAATACATCGACTACGGAGCACTGCACAGCAGGCCCGAATTTCCGCTGGCCTGTGGCGCACTGGTGCTCTCCCTGAAGGAGTATTCGGACATCAAGTTCACGGCCTCGCTCGGCACGCTCTCCTCCGCTGGCGTCGTCAGGCCGCCATAGCTGCGACGGGCGCTGCCGCGGGTCGCTGCCTCACCTCCCTCCTCGGCGCCACCTTTGACGGCATGGACCCTGGCGTCTCCCTGAGGATAGAGTTCCTCGAGGCCTGGCTTCAGCATTGGATGCGCCACCCGAACACGCACGCCAGGATCATCAGAGCCTGGCCAAGGATCAAGACTACCCTGCTCGCCGCTGGCCCCAAGCTGTGGTGCAAGGTCAAGGGCCCCACTGGCGCGGCCATCGCGACCCTCCTAGAAGCCAGTTGGGAGCCGACCTCCGCTACGACGTGGAGGCGCACGAAGGACGGCTACATCGAGGAGTGGAACCTCCCCTCCGCCGACGACCCTGACCTCCTCGACGCCGACATCCACACAGTATTGCAAGACCTCAGCGAAGATCTACACCGACTCCTCTGGAGGCAGGCCTCTACACACATCCACGGAGACACGCTTGCAGGAGGCGCAGACATGGTCACTATCCGTATCGAGCAAAGGAGGTTCCTCGCGAACGGCGACTTCAGCGATTGGGCCCTCAACAACACCATCATCAGCGGAGGACAGTGGACCAGAGACCGCCTCCACAACGCAGGCTACCAGATCGACAGGAACTGCGACCGCTGCTGCGCTCGCGTCCCTGAAACCCTGTTTCACCGCATGTGGCAGTGCGATGCGAATGTTGGGCCCGAGTTTGAGGCCAGCGACAAGCTACTGCCGCGAGCCCTAGCGGGGGCCGATGCCGACCCCGCCTTGTGGCTCCGCGGCCTTCCCTCTTCTGCTCTCACTACGCCCTCTTTTGAGCCATTGACTGGGAGGGACGGGTGGGAGTTTGTTGGTGAGGTGCGGGAGGGTTTGCCGACGTGGGAAGGTGCTCGTAATGGCGAGGGTGAGTTGTTTATTTTTGGCGACGGGTCTGGCGGAGCCTATTCCGACGACGTTAGGAGACGTCGCGTTGGCTCTGGCCTTGCTGCTCTTCGTTGGGACCCTCCCTCGGCCTCCTGGGCCCTCCACTCGGGCCCCCTTGCTCCCCTCCCAGGCCCCCGCCAGACCGTCCCAAGAGGAGAATTGTATGCGTTCTGCCTTGCACTAGAGACTTGCCATCAGGATTTCACTTATGTCACCGACCACCTAGCCTTGCAGCGTGGTTGGCAGAATGGTAGATGTCTCAGGCCAGGTAGCCTCAAAGGTAAGAGTACGAATGGTGATCTCTGGCTGAGAATACGGCATCTCGTGCAGGATCGACCGCGTGGTGCTCTCTCGGCCACGGTGCTCTGGACCCCATCCCACGCCGATCCTCAGACCCTGCGCGGCTTTCAGAAATTCCTAGCTCTCGGTAACCAGCAAGCCGACGAGCTCGCGGGAGACGCGGCCCACAAGTCGGCCACCCTAGCCCTCCCGCCCGTGCCCAGGACTGATGAATATGATGCTATCGCGGCGATCGTCCGCCAGCGGGCACGCCTAATTCTTCGTTCTTTCGGAAAAAATGCAGAGCCACGAGGTCTGTGGCCAGAGAGGCAACCCACTCAAGAGGCTGCCCCTCGTTCCCAGTTGCAGACCGCGATCGCGGATTCTCAGCACAAATTCGTTCGGTGTGTAGATAAATGGCGATGCTCCTCTTGTCACATTATTGTCGACGCTTGCCAGATAATTCCAGCTGCCGCAACGGAGTGTGTACCGCCTAGCCCCCTTCCTGAGTTTGCCGCGTGTGGTGAGGTCCTGTGGTCGAGGGGCCCCCGTGTGATCAGTGGCAAGGCGATACACCCCTCCCACGTGTTGGCCGCCATCCCCAAGTGGCAAATGTTCTTCTGTGTCAAGTGCGGCCATACGGCCACACACCAGGTCAAAAACTTACAATACCCCTGCCCTCTCACCCACCAAGTGGGAGAGCGCAGGGCCCTGGGACCCACTGGCAAAGGCCTCGAGAACCTCAGCAGGATCAGACGAGGCCTCCATCCGTCCAGATCGGGTCCCAGCAAGTCTGTTCTAGCCGCTATGCATGAATCGGCAGCCGAAGCCGCGATTGCGTCTCTCGCGGCTCCTAGCGGTGCCTCTGAGTAAATTGTGAGGCCAGGGGGGGCCTGTCGCGGTGTGCCGTGGGATGTCGCCACCCACGCCACTCCGAGAAATTCTGGATGGCCCTCCCTGGCGTCTCTTGTTTCCCGAACGGACTACGTCCGATTGCTCCACTCCGCTCCACCGCCTCGCGCCCCCACCCCCCATCCAGGTCCAGGGGAGGGGGTAGGGGTAGGGGGGGGGAGATGTCAACCCCTCCCCGAAGGGAAAGAAGGGGGTTGGAAGAGGAGTCCCCCCAGACCACCTACGCCTAGAGGGCTGGTGGGATTTTGGATTGCAACGTTGATTAAGCCCATGGCGTGTCAGCACAGTGCGGCGCTGCAACTCGCAGAACACTTGAAAGGACTAAACATGTTCCGTGGACACCAGTTAAAACAATTACAGTGGGCAGTTCGAGGCAGGGCAGCTGTGCACATCCCAGGAAGCAACACAGGCGGCGAGGGCGTCTTGGTGCGACGCTGGCGAGGGGTCCTCGAGCCAAGCAAAGAATGGGACCATGCTCGTTTGCCACGTATGACCTGATGGGGGCGGGAGCATATTCGGCCACCGACACAGCACGCACTCGGGACGGCGGCGGAACAAATGCCCAGTCTTCGCGCCAGGAGCAGGGGAGAGAGGGGTAGGCAGGTCGGTAAGAGTAAAATGTCGAGAGAGAGAGAGAGGTAGGTAGGTAGGTAGGTCGGTCGGTAGGTAGGTAGGTAGGTAGGTAGGTAGGTAGGTAGGTAGGTAGGTAGGTAGGGAGGGAGGGAGGGAGGGAGGGAGGGAGGGAGGGAGGTAGGTAGGTAGGTAGGTAAGGGTACACTGTCTCCTCTTGCCGTACTGCCGTGACGGCGTGGTCCACCGCCGATTTGCACCCAGTTCGGCACCCAGCTCTGCGAATGCCCCCCCCCTCCCCCCAGGGTACATTTATGCGTCGGCGGCTAGGCAGGGGACGCCTGCGCTGGCAAGGGATCGTGCCTAAACGAGGATGCCATTGGAGCGAACTGCGCCACCATGCAAGAGGAGGAGCGGGGGGAGGGCGCGGCCGAAAGAGGGGCGGACTGAGCGAGGGGCTCAGGCGGATGGGGCGCTAGCCTCCAGGGCACACAGCCAACCTGTGGCCATGATCCCCATCGGGCAGGTGGCCCAGCGCGACCCTGCCCGGCCCGCCGCCCCCCAGGCCGCCCGCGCCGAGGAGGAGGAGGCCGCCCGGGCGGAGGCCGAGATGGCGGTCCTGAGGGAGAGCTTGGCGGGTCTTCAGGAGGACCGCGCTGCGCCAGGAGGGAGGGGGGGAGGAGGGATGGGCGGTTCAGTGATGGTTCGAAGGAGAAAACGACGGCATAAACCTAAAAGTGTGGCGCTCTGCGCGAATTTCTTGGATCTGTACGTGCCCCCCCCTGGCGGCGCCTCCAGCGCCGCCCCTGGCGCGCTCCGTGCGCCAGGTAGGGGGGGTCCACCGCAGATTCAAGAAAGTCTGCGCGGGGCGCCAACATTTGATGTGAATGCAGTTGCTTCCCAACCCTCCTTGTTTGGATATTCGTTTTGCAAAGAGCACTGCTCGCGCGTCCTTCGTTCCTTCCTTCCTCCCGCCTCCCACCTCCCCCTGCCCTCTCTTCGCCGTCGATGGGGGCTGCGATCTGCGAAATTGTCGATACTTTCGGGGGCTGCTGATGGGTCCAGCGGAGTGAGGCACCGCGCAGATCCGAGAGGGACCTCGCCGTCCCTGGGGGGCTGCGATCTGTGAAATGGTCGCCACTTTCGAGGGCTGCTGGTGGGTCCAGCCGAGTGAGGCACCGCGCAGATCCGAGCGGGACCTCGCTGTCCCTGGGTGGCTGCGATCTGTGAAACCGTCACCACTTTCGAGGGCTGCTGGTGGGTCCAGCGGGGTGAGGCACCGCGCAGGTCTGCGCGGAACCTCGCCGTCCCTGGGGGGCTGCGATCTGCGAAATTGTCGACACTTTCGAAGGCTGCTGGTGGGTCCAGCGGAGTGAGGCACCGCGCAGATCTGAGCTGGATCTCGCCGTCCCTGGGGGGCTGCGATCTGCGAAACCGTCACCATCGAGGGTTGCTGGTGTGTCCAGCCGAGGGAGGCACCACGCAGATCTGAGCGGGACCTCGCCGTCCCTGGGTGGCTGCGATCTGCGACTGTGTTGCCAATGTCGAGGGCTGCTGGTGGGTCCTGCGGAGTGAGGCACCGCGCAGATCTGAGCGAGACCTCGCCGTCCCTGGGGGGCTGCGATCTGCGAATGTGTCGCCAAGTTCGAGGGCTGCTGGTGGGTCCTGCGGAGTGAGGCACCGCGCAGATCTGAGCGAGACCTCGCCGTCCCTGGGGGGCTGCGATCTGCGAAATTGTCGCCACGTTCGAAGGCTGCTGGTATGTCCAGCGGGGTGAGGCACCGCGCAGATCTGAGCGGGACTTCCCCGTCCTTGGGGGGTTGCGATCTGTGAAACCGTCGCCACTTTCGAGGGTTGGTGGTGGGGCCAGCGGAGTGAGGCACCGCGCAGATCTGAGCGGGACCTCGCCGTCCCTGGGTGGCTGCGATCTGCGAAACTGTCACCACTTTCGAGGGCTGCTGGTGGGTCCTGCGGAGTGAGGCACCGCGCAGATTTGAGCGAGACCTCGCCGTCCCTGGGGGGCTGCGATCTGCGAAATTGTCGCCACTTTCGGGGTCTGCTGATGGGTCCAGCTGAGTGAGGCACCGCGCAGATCTGAGCGGGACTTCGCCGTCCTTGGGGGGCTGCGATCTGTGAGTCGCCACTTTCGAAGGCTGCTGGTGGGTCCAGCGGGGTGAGGCACCGCGCAGGTCTGCGCGGAACCTCGCCGTCCCTGGGGGGCTGCGATCTGCGAAATTGTCGACACTTTCGAAGGCTGCTGGTGGGTCCAGCGGAGTGAGGCACCGCGCAGATCTGAGCGGGACCTCGCCGTCCTTGGGGGGCTGCGATCTTTGAAATTGTCGCCACTTGCGAGGGCTGCTGGTGGGTCCTGCGGAGTGAGGCACCGCGCAGATTTGAGCGAGACCTCGCCGTCCCTGGGGGGCTGCGATGTGCGAAATTGTCGCCACTTTCGAGGGCTGCTGGTGGGTCCAGCGGAGGGAGGCACCGCGCAGATCCGAGCGGGACCTCGCCGTCCCTGGGGGGCTGCGATCTGCGAAATTGTCGACACTTTCGAGGGCTGCTGGTGGGTCCAGCGGAGGGAGGCACCGCGCAGGTCTGAGCGAAGGCTGCCACTTTCGAGGGCTGCTGGTGGGTCCAGCGGAGTGAGGCACCTCGCAGATCTGAGCGAGACCTCGCCGTCCTTGGGGGGGCTGCGATCTGCAAAACCGGCACCACTTTCGAAAGTTGCTGGTGGGTCCTGCGGAGTGAGGCACCGCGCAGATTTGAGCGAGACCTCGCCGTCCCTGGGGGGCTGCGATGTGCGAAATTGTCGCCACTTTCGAGGGCTGCTGGTGTGTCCAGCGGAGTGGAGTGAGGCACCGCGCAGATCTGAGCGGGACCTCGCCGTCCCTGGGGGGCTGCGATCTGCGAAATTGTCGCCACGTTCGAGGGCCGCTTGGGGGGCCAGCATAGCGATCTGCGAAACTGTCACCACTTTCGAGGGCTGCTGGTGGGTCCAGCGGAGTGAGGCACCGCGCAGATCTGAGCGGGACCTCGCCGTCCCTGGGGGCTCCGATCTGCGAGACAGTCGCCACTTTCGAGGGCTGCTGTTGGGTCCAGCGGGGTGAGGCACCGCGCAGATCTGAGCGGGACCTCGCCTCGCCGTCCCTGGGGGGCTGCGATCTGCGAAGTTGTCGCTACTTTCGAAGGCTGGAGGCCAGTCCAGCGGAGTGAGGCGCCACGCAGATCTGAGCGGGACCTCGCCGTCTCTGGGGGCTGCGATTTGCGAAACCGCCACTTTCGAGGGCTGCTGGTGGGTCCAGCGGAGTGAGGCACCGCGCAGATCTTAGCGGGACTTCGCCGTCCTTGGGGGGCTGCGATCTGCGAATTTGTCGCCACTTTCGAGGGCTGCTTGGGGGGCCAGCATAGCGATCTGCAAAACTGCCACCACTTTTGAGGGCTGCTGGTGGGTCCAGCGGAGGGAGGCACCGCGCGGATCTGAGCGGGACCTCGCCGTCCCTGGGGGGCTGCGATCTGCGAAACCCGTCGCTTCTTTCGAAGACTGGTGGCGGGTCCAGCGGAGTGAGGCAACGCGCAGATCTGAGCGGGACCTCGCAATCTTTGGGGGGCTGCGAGCCTCACGAATGCCGCTCGCAGAAGTATATGCGCCGATGTCACGTCATCACCTCCGTATAACGTCTCCCAAGCTACTTATGCCCCGCATTGCGCAGGGGTGGGGTGCGTGGCCAGGGTAATTCTCGACCATCCTGTGGTGTTGGGTCCTCATTTTGAGAAGACGGTCCCCGCGTTCCTCCTTCCTCCGTCCTTCCACCCCCTCCTCCCCCTACTCCCTCCTCCTCCATGCGTATCACCCACCCAGCACAGCGCTTTCTGGCCCCATACGGAGCTCCACCGAAGCCCCCAGTGGGACCGTCCGGGACGCATGAATTTGGCATTTCCACCCACCCAGCACAGTGTTTCGTGGCCCCATGTGGGACAGCCCTCCCAAAAACCAAATTTGGCGTTTTCGCCCACCCAGTACAGCGTTTCGTGGCCCCATAGAGCTCCACCGAAGCCCCCAGTGGGACCGTCCGCATGTGTCCCGGAAACCCATTTTGACATTTTCACCCACCAGTACAGCGTTTCGTGGCCTCACAGGGAGCTCCACCGACGGCCCCAGTGCTACCGCCAGCATGCGCTCCCCCCCACCCATTGTAGCGCTTCGTGGCCCCATAGGGAGCTTCACCGAATGAGATATTCACAATTGCGGTGCCCACAACTGCATATGGTTGGGTCCTTCGCAAGGATAATTCTTCGTCTAATGGTGCCCCGAGGGAAGGGGCCCTCTTGCTATCGAAGGCGTCTGCGGCGAATCACCGCCGCCTCCTGTCCATTGGACATGTGTACCCCCAGCCGTTATGGACCCCCGTGGGGGAAAACTTGAGAGAGGAAGGAGGAAGGGGCGAGAAGCAGGACGAGGAGGAGGAGGAGGAAGAGGACGACGAGGAGGAGGAGGAGGAGGACGAGGAGGAAGAGGTGGAAGAGGATACCTCTTGAGGCCCTCTTGGGGCCTCGCGGGGGCTTCCTGTGAGCCTCGTGGGGCCCTTTGGGGGGCCTCTTGGGGGCTCCTGAGGACCTCTCAGGGACCTCGTGCCCTTCGGAGGCCGTCGTGGGGCCCTCTCTGGGGAGCCGTGGGTACCTGGAGGTCTATGAGGCTGCCTTGTGGCCCTCTTGGAGGCCTCCTGGGGCATTTTGGGGCCCTCTTGGGCTGTCTTGCGGGCCTCTTGGGGACCTCTTGGGCGGTCCTTGGGTGTTTTTGGGTGCCGATGGCTCCGTTTTGGACGGTCGCAGAACCGAAAATGTGATAACGCTAAGATCATTGGTTCACATGGGGGAATCAACGATTTTGCCTCCTGGAGGTCCCCTTTGAGCCAGTTTGGGGCGTCTTCGGGGCCTCTTGGGTCGTCTGGAGAGCATCTTGGGCCGTCTTGGGAGCCATCTTGGCCGTCTTCGAGGCGTATTGGGACCGTGTTGGATGCCATCGTGTACCGTGCTAGCCATATTTTAGGCAATCTTGGCCGTCTTCGACAGATGGTTTCCCAAACTTCCTGTGTTGGGTTGTCGTTTTGAAAAGAGCGTTGTTCGCGCGTCTCTTTCCTTCTGCCCTTCCTTCCTCCCTCCTCCTGCCTGACGCGGTAGTGAGGCGATACCTCGTGGTTCCCTGGGAGGTTGCGAGCTGCGCAAGCGTCGCCGCTTTCGGTTGCTCCTGGTAGGTCCAGCGGGGGCGGTGGTGAGGCGAGACCTCGCGGCTCCCCCGGAGACTGCAAACTGACAGCTGTCGCCACGTTGGTGGGCCCCTGGGAGAGCCGGCGGATGCGGTAGCTAGGCGAGACCTCGCGGCTCCTTGGGAGGTTGCGAACTGCGCAATTGTGCCCACTTCCGTGGGCTCCCGGGAGGTCCAGCGCAGTAGATTGTCATCCTAACGTGTTCTGTGTGATGGAGCGTTCGTATGGCTAGTCGCCTCGCGTGGAGAACGAGTTCGGTATGTATCTGGTCATTGTGGATCTACGCGGCTTTTCGGGTGGCCGGCCGTCTGGGCCGAGACTCCATAGGGACCTTCTAGAAGGAACCCGCACCATTCAGAAGTTCAGCACGCCGTGCACCCTTGGA